CCTCCTCCATCCCAAATATCCATTTCCCCTCTTTTCCTGCCCCTCTTTGGCCTTCTCCCTTTCCCTGACTGCTTCTAGAAGCAAAATCACCCTTCCCTCACTCACTGGCCCCACATCACATCACCTGTCGCGTCCCCACTGGCCTTCCCTGAGGACTCTGTTCCGGCCCCTTCCCCTTCTCCTTGGGGTTGTTGTTGGAGTCGTTGTCCTTGATGATATCATATTGACGGCAGAAGAGCCCAATTACAGCTGAAACACAACAATACAATCTGCACCTTGATCTTGACCTCCCCACTCACAGACTTGAATGGCAGTGAGATACCCACACGGTTTCTAGAAAATCTGAGAAGAAAACCTTTAAATTTCTGGTGCTCATATGCGAGCACCACCCTCTTAGCCTTCCTCTCCTCAAACTTCTGCTCACCCCCAACTAAGCATCTCCCCACTGCATTTCCCTCCCTGCCTTTTCTCCTGACAGCCTTCACCACCTCCCACCTTCACTGAGCCCCCCACTCCCCCAATCCTTGTCCCCTGTGCAGCTGCTCACTCACCGGCCCACATGAGCAACACCACCACAATGATAACCACTTCCCCTGTCTGCAATGGTCGCTCTCCCTTCAGACCCTCCACTGTGATGTCACCTGAGAAGAAAGAGATAGACTCCAGGTTATGGGGAGCGGCCACAGAGCTCTTCTCTGCAGACCCGTAAGGATGGAGAGCCTGGGGCCAGGGTTGCCCCTGAGAGCCCCTCTCTAGGAAGCTGTTGGTGACAGGTAGTTAGAGACCAAAAAAGCAGGACTGTTGCGGGCAAGTACTCACGCAGACTGCGGCAGCTGGGAACAGAGGGTTGGGAAAAGGAAGCTTAAAGGCCCTTCTCCCAAACGATTCATTATCAGCCTGTTTATACCCAGTCCCCTGCCAACCTTTTTCCTTCGTTTCTTGGCAGTATGATGAATTAAGTCATCCTTTTATTCGTCTAAGCTAGACTGTGGCTTGTTTGGGGGGAAGTAAACAAGAGGCTAAAGGGCAGGTAAAAAGCCAGAGAATCCAAAGCTTTCGGGAGTGGAGGATAGCTGAGCCTCTCACCTGGGCTTGAGCTGTTGGAGAGTAGCGGGTCAGAACCCTTGAGAGTTCGAATTGCACCTGAGGCCCGGGGGGGGGGGGCTCTCTCCCCGAAGGCCAGGCCGATGCTCTGAATCTGCATGTGTAGTCGCTGTCTTCAGCCAGTCCCCAGAGGGCACAGGCCCGCGTNGTGTAGTCGCTGTCTTCAGCCAGTCCCCAGAGGGCACAGGCCCGCGTGGTGGTGTTCACTTCCCGGATCACACGCTGCCCAGGCCATTCTGTCGCTGCAGGGAGATGATGGGACAGGAGGGCGGTCTCACACAAGTCCCAGGACTCAAACATCCAAGCACTCCACGGAGTAGGATGACAAGGGCAGCTTGAGTCAGGGGACACCAGCTCCCAGATTCCCCCACCACGGGGAGGGGAGCTTTGGTCCCAGGTGGGGGTAATGGAAGGAAGGCTCAGAGTTCCAAGGACACAGGCTGAGGGAGCAGAAGGGTGATTCGTACTTGTTGGGAAATGGAGTAGCCAATGACGATGTTGCCTTCTGGGACGTCCCAGGACACAGTGGCCGAGTTGGCTCTGAGCTGAGTGACTGTCACATTCACAGGAGAGGGAGAACGGTCTGTTGGGTGCCAGAGTGAATAGGTTAATAGGTCCCATGTATGGACTAGCTCTGCTCCACCCCACTACCCCTTTACTCACCTGCTCGCACAAAGCCCAGGTCACAACTGACTAGCAGGAGGACCGTAGGGCTTAAATATGGGGAGAGGGGCATCAGCGAAGCTGTGGTCCCCACCGAGTCCGCTGGGAGGCACTGGGGCATCCGCTTTACATCCAGGCGGGGCTCCTGGAGGTGGCAGGAGTTGTTGGGGGCGGGGGGCGGGTGTCCAGGACTTCCCAGAACGCACGGGTGGCAGCAGCTCTCCCGGGCTCCCCACCGCCCACAGCAGCCCCGGATCCTCCCGTTCTCCCCACGCCTTCCCCGCCCCCGCGTCACCCGGGCGTCCCCAATGTGCCGCTCTGTCCGGCCCACACCCATCTCCGCCGGTCCTCACGGTCGGTCAGGCCTCAGGGGGGCTGCTCGGTGCCCAGAGGGCGGCCCATCGCCCGGCTCCGTGGCGCTGCCCCTGCCCCATCCCGGCGCGGGCTGGGTGCGGCGGGCAGCGCGGGACCAGCTGCGGGCAGAGGGCAGGAGGAGGCGTAGCGGGAGCGGGGCGCGGGGCTGCGGGGGGCCCCCAGAGCTCGGACGCGCCGCGGAGTCTGTTCCTGAGCGGGGGGGGGGGGGGGGGGGGGGGCGGTGCCCGCGCGGCCTGGCTACTGGCCGGAGTCCCGGTGCGGGAGGCAGTGCGGCTGGCCTGATGACATCATGATCCTTGCAATATCCAGATGCAGTTTCAAATTCCTATTCAAAGAATTGTGTGTCCCCCTAGTGGAAACACAGCCTTATGTCATAGGAACAGGAAGCACTATTTTGCAAGTACATAACAAGGTTTATTTTTTTATTTTATTTTTTAAAAGATTTTATTTATTCATTTGAAAGAGAGGGGGCATGAATGTGGGTGCACAAGCTGGGGGAAGGGGCAGAGGGAGAGGGGAGAAGCAGACTCTCCACTGAGCAAGAAGCCTGACGCTGGCTGACCCCAGGACCCTGAGATCATGACCTGAGCCAAAGGCAGATGTCTAACCGATTGAACCACCCAGGAGTCCTGAACTAGGTATAATTGTGGGACACAACCCTCTCACTTTTACTGTTTCCAGAGTTCATGTGTCCCAGCCATGAAAAAAGCAGCAATTTGGTTTAGAACATACACTACCCATGAAGGGCAGCACACTCAGCTTGTTAAGTGCTGTCTCCTACTTGGGGCTGTAGCTGAGTCTTCATTACTCTACCCTATTGTCCAATATGGCCAGTTGCTTGGGGTAATGAGGTTCTTAATAAAGTCATTGACTCCCATGGTAGTCACTTTTTCCTCTGTAAAATGGGTCTCTTAGTGAGGGATACCATGATGGTGAGCAAGGTATTAAGAATGTCCACCAATGTTGATGCTGGCAAAAGCACTGCTGGAAGGAAAGGCAAATCCATATCTGCATTTAAATGTTTATCCCCCAGAGGGCAAATCCCTGCCCACTCCCTGATGGAAGGGTCCTGGCATTACCTGTCTGCCACAAAGTGGCAAGCTGGTATCCCTTGGTGTATGGTCTTCTCCACTGGGGCCCAGAGTTGGTCCCTGATGTGAGAATGTTGGGTTCTCAGCAGCCAGATCAGCCTTGATGAGAATTTCATGTTGATGAACTCACGTACATCATATGTTCCTACTGCCACAGTCTCCTCATTCCTTGAACAAGCACCGGTGTGACTGGGGAAAAGACTGACCAATGTCTACAGAAGTCTTCCTGCCCACCTGCTTCTCAAAAGCCTCCTCAGAAGTGGATGCCTTCAATGAACATTCACAATATGCTTCTATTCTGTGTCCAACTGGTCTACCCACATCATTTTCCTCAGGTCGCCTTATCACCAATCCTCTGATGTTGTTCCTTCCAAATCTCCGACTATCCAGCTAACTTGCTAGATGCTGGTTTTATCCAAGCCACTAGCTTCCTCTCTTTCCACATGACAGCTAAACATACTACTCAAGGTTTTGTCCACGGGGAGGATTTCCTTTCTCCTGCTATCCTTTAGGGCCACCTCGCAGAGGGGCTGGTGTAGTACATCAGTCCACTTCTGATGAATGCCAGTGTACTGTGCTGCATGCAACTTTTCGTTTCTCAGTCACCTGGTCACAGGGAACCTCCCATGAGCTCAGTGATGTGGGTTGACAGAGCTTGTCTTTTCCTTTCTTTAAATGGCAACTGGTTGCTGATACTGCCATTGCTGCTGCCACAGCCACCACACACCCACAAAATCGGCAAATGGTCTCTTGCAGATTCCTGCCATTGCTGGAGTTTTTGTCATCTGGAAATTCCCCAGAAAGATGGCTCTACCTCCTATTATCCTTACAAAACTTCCACCAGTACTTCACATTTGTGGAATTTAAATAATGCCCAGGACATGAGCTATAAAGAAAATATGGTGTTGGGGCGCCTGGGTGGCTCAGTGGGTTAAAGCCTCTGCCTTTGGCTCAGGTCGTGATTCCAGGGTCCTGGGATGGAGCCCCACATCCCATCATCTCATCGGGCTCCCTGCTCGGCCGGGAGGCTGCTTCCCTTCCTCCCTCTCTGCCTGCGTCTCCACCTGCTTGAGATCTCTGTCTGTCAAATAAATAAATAAAATCTTAAAAAAAAAAAAAAGAAAGAAAGAAAATATAGTGTTTAGCCATTGATAGCCTGAAATTCTGGGGGATGTAGGCGAGAAGTGGGGAGGGACTCCTAGAGCCGAAGCCAAATACTGAACATATATCCGAAGTCCATCTCGGCACCACTGCACTCCCTCACTCTAGCTAAGATGCTGAGGGTACAGACTTCTGGTTCTAATCCTAGTTCTCCTGCTTCCTGACTGTGTTAACGTCTCTGTGCCTCAGGCCTCAGTTTTCTCATCCATTAAATAGGTATAGCAATGGCACCTACTTGTCAGTATTGTTTTAAGTCCTCAGCACTCCTCAATCACCGTGTCTGTTTCTTCCAAATCGAGGACTACTTAGTGGGGCTTTGGTAGGAAAACTCCACGCGATCCCACAGGGAGCAGGTGGCAGGTGCTTAGAATGGCGCTGGCAAGTACCTGTTGAATGGATGGATGGGTGGAAACTGACCTAAGGAGGGCTATGTCCCCAGGGCTCTTCACCCTGCAGCCTTGTAAAAGTGAGGAGGTAGCAGGGTGAAAAGGGGACATACTTTGGTGTTTTACAGGCCTGACCTTGAGTTGAATCCTGGCTTTGCCACTTACAAGCAGCAGGACTGTGGGCGAGTTAATTTACTCAGTTTCTTTGATCGTGAAATGGAACGGATAATATCCACCTTGGCCGACCGCGGGCGCTGGGTGCCCTGGGTGTGCTCGATTGCTTCCCGCTGACGGATCTCGCACACCGGGCCGGGGCAGAAACAGACGCGGGAGCCCTGGTGGGAGGGTAGGAAGGTCCTTGCGCGCCTGGCGGCCACCGGGCAACACGTGGGTGCCTGCGCGCCCGGCGCGAACTCCGAGCGCGGTTCCAGTTTCGCGCGATCCGGGAGCCGGAGGGGGCCGGGCGGCTGCGGCGGAAGGCGGAGCCCGCGGGGAAAACGAAAGCGAGAGTGAGCGGTCCGGACCCCGCAGGCGCTCGGCGGCAGCGGTGCGGATGAGTAGAGATCTGGGCGTGCGGGGAGCGCGGGGGGCTTCGGGGAGAGGAGACCGCGCGGGCGCGGCCAAGGCCGAGTCCCGGCCGGGAACGTGGACGCGGGTGAGAGGCCCCCGACCCGTGGCCCGGCCGCGCGGGAGCGCCGTCCGAGGCCCGCAGCCGAGGTGCGGGGCCCTTGCCAGAGCCTGGGAAACGATCGCGCAGCGCAGTGGGGTCTGAAAGCCATTTTTCCCCCCGCGAGGAATTTCTATAAGAGCAAGTAACGAATTTCCCCAGCTGGAGTGGCGGGGTGGCGAGTGGCGGGGGAATCTAGCGGAAAACAGGTAAGTTGGGAAATGTGACAGAAGGGAAATATGGAGGCCTGGATTTCCCGTAGATTGACCAAATAGGCCCTGGCTAAAAATCTCCTGCCTACACAGTTGCAGTTGTTTCCCAATTGCCCTGCCTTAGCGCACCCCATCCCACCCCTTACCCCTGCCCCAACCTGTACCACCCTGTCCACCATATCTTTTCTCAGGCTGCAGCTGAGGGGGTCCTTTAAGTCAGAACAGGACACTGTGCTCGGATCACTCCAGTAGCTCACCATCCCATCAGAATTCCGTCAGTGAGGGCGCCAGGGTGGCTCCGTTAAGCCACGGATTTTTGGTTTCTGCTCAGGTCATGATCTGGGAGTCCTGAGATGGAGCACAGCCCCCAGTCATCTGGAGCCTCCCTGCCTCCCACCAAGTAGGGCCAGGAGCCTGCTTGAGATTCTCTCCCTCTGCCCCTCCCCCTAGCTCATGCGTGAGCTCTCTTTCAAATAAATAAATTAATCTTAAAAAAAAAAATCAGTACATGGCGCAGACAAGGCTCCTTGCTCTCTGCACTGTGACCAGACAGGCCTCATTGTTGTTTTGGGATACAGGAAAGTACATGCCTGCCTCTGGGCCTCTGCAAGCCTGTTTCCCCTTCCTGGAAAGCTCTTTCTTCCCCCAGATGCCTGCATGGGTCATTCTTTTGCTTTACCCTGTACTTCTGGCAGTGACATCTAATCAGAGCAGCCTTCTCTGAACAACCAGCTGTGTAAAAGAAACCCCGCCCTTCCCTGCCTGTTCACCCTTTCTCTGCTTCAGTTTCCAGCACAGTAGTTATCAGCCAGTGACATTGTTTTATGGATTTGTCTGTGTTCCTCCTCTAGTAAGTTTACAAGAGCAGGGTTTTGTGCACCGGTACCACCCCAACCCCTAGTAGTAATAGGTTCTCATTAAATATCTGTTTAATGAATGGCAATTTCTAAATTCTCTTTTGAATTAGAGAATAGTGAGACTTCCTGTTGACTGTGATTTCTTTAGTACTCGAAACGGCTCCCAAAGGATAGCTAAAAGGTAAACTCTGCTGTCAAGAGCTTAGAATTTGGGGCAGATTATGCTCTTCTTCACTTTGCTTAGTTGAACCTGAAGATCCATAACCCTGGACCTGTAGTTCATTCATTGAACAATCAGATACTAGTTGAATGCATGCTGTAGGCCAAGCATTGTGCAAGACCCGGAAGGGGCGGGGTCCTCAGGGAGCTGGTAGTTGGCCAGAAGGGACAGAGGCCACAAAGTAAGATGAAGAAGGTGGACACATAACACCCGTTAGTGATTTTTGCTGGAAATTTCCTTTAGGAAAATGAGAACAGAGAATCAAAACAAGATTTATTGACAGTAGTTGAAAAGAAGCCCGATTTTTTTTTTGTTTTTTGTTTTTTTTCCCCAGACTTGGAAGTATTTTTTCAAACATGTTAATTCAGCACTTTCTTAGTTTGCACATATATTTTACTTAAATTTGAACTGGCTTGTCCTTCTGATGATTGGTAGTTACTTAACATTAAAAGTGCTGGGGGCTTAGAGTGGGTGATAGAACTTCAGGATATAGTTGCTAAGGGTTCTTCCATGACTGCTCTTCTGATATCTGTGATCCCCTCCCAGCCTGATGTATGATCTCATGGTTGTGACCAAAGTAAATGACACTGGTTCCTAAAAATAATGGTACAGCTAAAGATCCTTATCAATGACCCTTGGGCCAGGCATGTTCAGGTATTCAGAGAGTTTGGGATTTTAGCGAGGTAAGCCAGCGTAAATCCTGTCTATTACAGAATGTTCTCAGGAGAATTGGAGGGCAGCCCTCTAGAATAAAACAATTTATGTAGTGAAATGTATACGTGAATAACAAAGTATCATGAAAACTTAAATAGCTCATGTCAGCTCAGGTTTAGACAGGGGGCTACAAACCTGTCAAAAACAAAACAAAAGAAAAAATGCATCTCCGTTTTTAGTGCTTTTTGGATTTCAGAATTGCAGACCAGGAGCACCATTTATTGAGAGGAGGACTCTGCTGGATGTTTTTTGTCTGATTTCTCCCCACAACAACCTCTGAATCTGCTGTTTTTATTCCTGTCTTCAGGTCACAAAGGAAAAGTTCAGAGAGGGTCTAGCCGAGATCAGTGTGACCTCTAGTCTGACTATCTCCACGACACTGAGCAGTAACGTGACGGCTTTGCCTTTGCGCAGACTCTAGATACTCCCAGCATGTGCTTCCAGCCACCATCATTGCTCACCCAAACCATGGCAGCAGCCTCTGCTGGGTCTTCTTGCTTCTGCTTGTGCTGTGCTCCACTACCCATACCTGTCCCTGCCCCCAGACTCTATTTTTTACACAGTGTCAGAGTCATCACTTAAAACATAAATCCACTCACATCCCCCCTCTACTTAGAAAATGTCCAGTAACTTCCTGTTGCAATTGGAATACCATCCATTGGTTCTGACCATGACTTACAAGGTCTGTGTGCATGGCACTGACCCCTCTGACTTATTTCCTACTCTTTCCCCCTCATTCACTGGGCAGCAGTCCCCTACTTTTTGTTATCCCCTCCAAGGCCATGCTGGTTCCTGAGATACACTTCCCCCATATCTTGGTATAATGGACTTTCTCATCATTCAGTCTTCATTTAAAATTGCCTCCCAAAAAAGGTCTTTTGTGAGCACTATGTTTAAAACCGCCTCCCCCTTATCTGTCTCTGCCTACCAACTCACCCTCCTATGCCACATCCCTATTTAATTTCATTATAACACTTCTGGCCATCGGGTCATCATATGTCCACTCCTGTTACCGATTTCTGTGCATGGTCATTTTCTGTCTTCCCTCAGTGGAATGCAGGTCGGGTGTGAATTTGTCTTGTCCACATCTGGATACTCATTGTCACAATTATGCCTGTCACTTGCTAGCCATCCATTGAATAAATGAAGAAAGGATGCACGGAAAACAGCAGATGAAGAAAAGGGAGAAGACGAGGGGGTTTTGCAGTCAAATGCTCTACCCCTGAGCTATACCCCCAGACAAGGGGGTTTTGAGTAGAATATTTAATTTTAATGAGTCATTCTTTCATTTTCCTATACACCATCCAAGTGTTCAGCATTTCCTGCTTGCCACTGGGTATTGATGATACAAAAGGAGTAAGACATAGAACCTGCTTCCCAAATTGCTCACTGACTGGGCTGTTATGGGAGCTGGGCAAGGTGGAGTGGTGGGCCCTTAGAGGAGGGCTGGCTGCCCCCCCAACATCAAAGAAAATGTGGGAGCCTCACAGATGAGTGGGAGTTGCCTGGTGGACTGAGGGTGCATATACTGCATTCAAAAGCAAAGAGACAAGTATGTGACAAGTCATGCAGGTGGGGAAGGTCTGTAGATATTCATTCATTGATTATGGAGCCCCTATTCTAACAGCCTGGCCCCATCCCTGTTATAGCTCATGGTCTCTTTTGGAAGACATCAGTTACATAAGCAATTGCAGGAAAGGGGACAAGAGCTGTTGTGGAGCACGGGACCACGACCTCTTCCAGGGTATCTGGGAAGTGACATCTGAGCTGAAATCTATAGGAAATAGGAATTGACCAGACGAAGGCAGTGCATGGGGTATAGTCAAGAGCATTTCAAGGAGGCAGCCTACTGGACAGAAGCAGTTAGAGTTAAGAAGTAGTCAGGGGTAGAGGTGTTCTTTTGATAACTATCATTGTGTAGGTGGAATTTAAAGCCTTAAGTCTAGAGGGAGTTTGTGTTACTAGAGCAGAGAGGAGATCTAAAACAGGGCCCTGGGGCACTAGACTATTTAGAAGAAATAGTCTGTTCAGATCCTTTGCCAGTTTTTTAATTGGATTGTCTTTTTGTTGTTGAGTTGTAAAAGTTCTTTATATATTCTGGATACTGGACTCTTATCAGGTACATGAACTAAGGTATCCCTTTCTTTAGATTTCCATTTTCCTCATAGTGTTCTATGTGACACAAGTGTTTTTATTTTTTTTTTTTAAGATTTTATTTATTTATTTAAGAGATAACAGAGATCCAGGACCCTGGGATCATGACCTGAGCTGAAGGCAGACGCTTAACCACCTGAGCCACTCAGGCGCCCCTGTTTTTACTTTCAATAAAGCCCAATCTCTCTGTTTCCTTTTGCTGCTTGTGCTTTTGCTGTCATTGCAAAGAGTCCACTGCCAAACCCAAGATTCTGAAGATTTGCCCTTATGTTTTCTTCTTAGAGTTTCATAGTTTTGGCTCCTATATTTAGATTCTGTATTTTTTTAGATTTTCATTATGACTTAAATCATTGCTACCCTCTTGGTCTAATGAGACCCATAAACTAGGGTCATAATTTACCCAGGTAAATTTACCTACAATTGACTAATGCAAACTTTAAAGGGAAGATTTTTGGGATTTCATAGGGGAATCTGTTTCTGTATAGTGAAATCTTTAATGATTTCATAAACTTCACCTTACGTATGTACTCCCGACCTTTTTCTTCTCAGCATGAAGAATTCTGATTCTACTCATGTAGCTCAAGCAGGTGGACAAACCCGTGTCTGACCCTCACTGGAAGCAGAGAGCAGAGTAGAAGAGAAAGACCCCTTTCCTTTTTTGGCCAGTTGAGTTTTGTTTTGTTTTGTTTTAGTTTTTTTTTTTTTTTTAATTTATTTGACAGATCACAACTAGGCAGAGAGGCAGGCAGAGAGAGAGAGGAGGAGGAGGCAGGCTCCCTGCCGAGCAGAGAGCCCGATGCGGGACTCGATCCCAGGACCCTGAGACCACGACCTGAGCCGAAGGCAGAGGATCCAACCACTGAGCCACCCAGGCGCCCCGGCCAGTTGAGGTTTTTTTTTTTTTTAAAGATTTTATTTATTTATTTGACAGAGAGAGATCACAAGTAGACAGAGAGGCAGGCAGAGAGAGAGAGAGAGAGAGAGAGAAGCAGGCTCCCTGCCGAGCAGAGAGCCCGATGCGGGACTCGATCCCAGGACCCCGAGATCATGACCTGAGCCGAAGGCAGCGGCTTAACCCACTGAGCCACCCAGGCGCCCCCGGCCAGTTGAGTTTTAAAAGTAGAAAGTTTTGGAGAAATTCACTTGGTGTGCACATCATGAAGGGAAAAGATTTTGTAAGAAAGTCTTCTCTGGATTTATGTGGGGCTGAGATGAGCCTTAGAAAGAAGATTCTTCTTATCCTGTTTTGTCTCCTACATTGGATTGGGAAAATCAGGTTAAATATGTTCTGTGTCACTTTTTTCAAACATCTCTTCTGTTCTAGGTTACTAGAAGAAATGGCCAATGTGCGTCCACCAAGTTTTTCTATAGAAGAACTTAATATATACTGTCAGAAGCGCAACTTGGTACTTAAGTATTATGAACTGTCTAAGAAAGGACCTGCACATAACTTAAAGTAAATTGCTATTTTTTTAAAAGATTTTTTAAATAGTATTATCTCCACCCAATGTGGGGCTTGCTCTTAAACTCCAAGATTCAGAATTGCATGCTCTACTGAGTGAGCCAGCCAGGCACTCCAAATTGCTTTTTAAAAAGGTATATCTCTATAAAGTATGAACTGCAAGAATGGCAACTCTGACACAATTTTGGAGTCAATAATTTAGCTCTACAGCAAAGATGATGTGCTCTTCTGCTGTTTGTGTGTCACTGCTTAAATTCTATATTGAACCGGTTAAAACCTTCAAGGTCACGGGAGGCAGTGTGATTGGAACACTTGTCCTTAGACAATGCATGAATTTAATAACATTTTGTGAATATTGTCTTTGTAATCAGGTTTACATTTCAAGTTATCATAAATGAGAGAAAATATTCAGAAGCTGAAGGTAAATCAAAGAAGGAGGCCAAAAATGCTGCAGCCAAATTAGCTATTGAAAAACTTAACGAAGAAAGCAAGGTGAGTAAATGCCCTTTTAAACTTTACTCTGGGAGAAAACACCCACAGACAGAGTAAAGCCATTCACAGGTTCTCTTCCATTCAGAAGTTCAGTCTTTTTCCACAATTTCCATTTCTGTAGAGCCCTGAGTGAGAGGTTCATCTAGGAAGTAGTGGGCAAAGCCTGCCAATATCTATTGAGAGTGCCAGCAGTAGCCACCGTCTCTGAAGTTGAGTGAGTGGGAAAGGCAAAGGCAAGAAATGAACTGGCAGGAGCTCCCCCACTGAGGAATGGAAGGACAGTGGGGAGGAAGGACAAAGAGATGGAAGGACTGTGGGGAGGATGACAGATGAACAGGACAGGTAATGGAGATCTAACATTCGTGGAATTGGTTTCTCAGAGGCTGAGACCAGAGTAAAGAGTACAGAGAAAGCTATCTGAAGAGATTCCAGTGGAAAGTGTTTCTGAAATAAAGGAAAACCTCGATGCAGATAAAAATAACTCAACAGATACACAAAAATACAGAGCTGCCAAGAATGTCAAGCATTGGGAAAGTCCTGAACTCTAGGGATGATGAAAAAATCCTATAAGCATTGAGGCAGATAAAGGAAATTATTTAAAATTTTAAATTTTAAAATTTTTAAATTAAAATGTAAAAATGAAGAAAAAAATAAAATATCTTGCTGTCCACAGCATCGTTTCAAACCACAGGATAACAGAGAACTGGCAATAAAATGAGACAAGCAGTCATTTACATGTGGGACCAAGGAAGATCTTTTCTCAGATACTGAAAATCTTGAAAACATTGACTTTTAAGATACTTCCCTGAAAAGTCTTCCTCAAGGATGTCACCCTTGTAACAAAACTGGGAAAAGTAAATCTGGCAAAATACAAACTCACAAAATGTTAATGAGCCAGAAAAAGCAAATCAAGAAGTTAGGAAAGGAACAATAGAATGCCTTCCCCCCCCTCCAAAAAAAAGCAGAAGAAGGAAAATAACAACAAGGCCAAACGTTAATGTAAAAGAAAATCAAGAAATAATAAAGAAGGTCCATAAAGCCAAAAGGTAGTTCTTTGACAAGATTAATAAAGTAAAAAAACTTTGGACAGGGTTTTGCCAGATTAGGAAAAAGGTACAGATAAGAATGGAATGAATGGTGCTGTTATATTACTCTTTCCCAATAAAGTGTGATCCAGGATAGCTTTACTTGTACATTGGCTATCTTGTTTTTTGAGATTTACAAAGCCTAAAATGAGGTAGACAGTGTTACAGTATTTTGTATGGATAAATGAGGAAGTTGACTACTTTGTTATTCTGTAGGAAACTATAAAAGGATGGTTCCTTTCCTATTGTTATCTTTTTTTCTCATGGATTTTTTTCTGGTAGAAAAAGACATAGACTTTTACTCAAGAAGATAGTAGACTAGGGCAATACATAAAATCTAAGTTGTCTTTCAAATTATTCGTAGTAATTTTATTAGAGGAAATAAAATGGCTAAATCTTTGTTTTCATCTGTATTAAACAAGATTTTTTTTTTCTTTGTAGGCAGTTAGTTCTTTATCACTGACAACAACAGATACTTCAGAAGGACTAGGAATAGGATCCATTGAGAATTTCATAGGCCGTTTGAATAGGCTTGCCCAGAAGGAAAAACTATCTGTAAATTATGAACAATGTGAACTGAACGAATCTGGGCCAGAAAGGTGAGATGTAGTTCATCTTTTCCTTCTGTCTCATTGTATCTAAGCAATAGAATGGGGTTGTTTTCATGTCTAATTTTCCAGAAATATTTGTCCTCCTTTTTGGGGCCTTTTGCATGGAAGGTTTTATATGACTTACACACAATTGGTCTTTTTCATAATTAAAATATTTAATTGCTGAAGATGGGACCCATATACATTAATGGATCGAATCTGGGGAATCCTTTATTTCTGAGGTATATCTGGATGGTTTAGTCTGCAGGAGACCTAAGAGAGAATGGGGTGCCCTGCTGGGGAAGTGGTGTGTGGAGATGGTCACAGGTCACAGTGGGAGTGGCTGTGTGACAAAGACTGGACCACAGGTATAGGTACAATGACTCTTTCACCATCGTCAGATTAGAGAGCCATTTGTCTAGGTGTTTGTCCTTCAAATTCAGTTAAATGGTGTCACTTTCTAGACAAATATCACGTCTTAAGAGAAACGGGTTTTAGCCATAGGCTGTGAGGAGACCCAGATTTAAGAAATATGAAGGGTGGGATGGAGGAGAGCTTCAGAATTGCCAAGACTTTGGAAGTGAGGATAAAGAATGGGTAGGAACTGGTAAAAACAAAAAGCAAATGAGCCTGAAGGAAATTGCTTCTTGGCTACAACCAAAAAAATCTAAATGGCAAATAGTCCAGATAACCACTTCAGGATACCGGCCTCTGAATTGACTCTGAAAAGTTATGGATTTTGAAAACTCTGATGGCTTTTAGGCCAGAACCAGGAAGAGGAAAACAGAAGAGTATTCTTTGGCATGGAAGAATCCACAGTGAATTGTGTGAGTGGATCTCAATAAAGTAGGAGGCTGTTCTATTGTTTCAGAGCTCACCTGTTTGTTTCCTTGGGATTAAACACTCTGATATGAGTTACCTAAAAGAGAGAAGACATCTACTTAAGGGTGCCTGGGAGAATGGGAGCCGTACACACCACCCAGTCTCTCAATCTAGTTCTGCCTTCAGGGTCCAGGAGGGAAGACTCACCCTGGTTGGGTGTGTTTGCCTCCATGGCCAATAATACTGGAATAATTTTGAAGTAATATATAGTAACTCCCTGAGGCTTACCAGGTCCATTGCTTTTCCACCTTAAATAGAGTTCTTCTATATTGGATCCTTGCCTCAGCACAAATATTCTTACATCTCATATGAGGAGGGCATGGACTTCATGGAGCTCTTGCACTATGGGGATTTCCTTAGGTCTGGGGACATATGAACAGGGAGCAGAATATCCTGAAGTTAGAACCAAATCTCTGATTTGCCCATTCCTTACAAAACACCGTAACCTTATTGTTTCTCCTGTAGAAGTCCTACTTTCCCAACGTAGGCTTTTTCTTTCCATTTGAGCATCTCTGAAAAATTCCCCAGATCTCTCTTCCTTCTCTACCTCTGTATCTTTTGACCTTTGAGGAATTTTTAAAAATCCCCATCAAGTTCCTTTTTCGCCAGATCTTTCGGCAAAGCAACAAAGAGAAGTTACCTGAAAAATGCAAGCGGAGACATCAACCAGTCCTGGTTATTCTAGCAAATCGGCCAGCCGTCTTATCAAAAATTTATATGCTACAAGATACAAACTGTAAACCTACCCATTAAGTTAGGGTGATTTTAAGGTCTTTGTTCAGCTGTGTTTGTTTCCAAATCCTGAGTTAGATTTACTGTTTTTTGTTTGTTTTGGTTTGTTTTTTGTTTTTTGTTTTTGTTTTTTTGGTATTTGGGTGAATATTCTTTATCGTTTCTCCTAGATTTTATTATAGATGCAAGATTGGACAGAAAGAATATGCTGTTGGCGGAGGTGCTACTAAGCAGGAGGCAAAACAGATGGCCGCGAAATTTGCATATCAGCAGATAGAGAAGACCTCCATGGTATGTACTGCCTTTGGATTTAACTTATAAATTTTAAGATTCTTTTTGAAGTGGATTTGACCTAAGACTGCATTTAGATGATGCCAAGACAGCCAGTCACAAAGCAAAAGGATTCCTCCATTCTGTGTTTCATCAATGAGCCACGAGCCATGGGGCCATGAGACCCCAGAGAGCAAAGTTCTGTTGGGTGCTTTGGGTTCTTTGAAGGTTTTATTTATTTGAGAGAGTGAGAGTGAGTGAGAGAGAGAGTTTGGACGGGGTCGGGGGAGGGCAGAAAGAGGGGGAGAGGGAGAAGCAGTCTCTCACCCTGAGCAGGGATTTTGATGTGGGACTCGATCCCAGGACCCTGAGATCAGGACCTAAGCCGAAGGTAGATGCTTAACCCATTGAGCCACCCAGGTGCCCCCAGGGTTGTTTTTTAAATCTAGATCAAGCATCCATAAATAAATCTGGTAGTTAGCACACAGAGACTGAAATGTGTGGAGAAGTGATGCATTTGCTCTTAAAACTCCTAAGGGGTACTCTTTCTTTCAGAAAGAGGACTCAGCAGCATCCAGTGATTCTTGGACTACTTTGTCTAGTGACTCCGGAAACAGCGCTTTGGTGAAAAACATATCGTAAGTGTGGACAAACAGCGGTGATATTTAACAAATTTAGATTGCTGCCTGAGAGGTCACATTTTTATGAAAATGCTTAATGTTTAAGGAGAATTTAGAGAAAAAAATTCTGATCAACAGAAGATAGGCAGCATTGACCAACTAATAATGATCCCCTTTTCTTCTAGTGCTTCTAAATCACCACTTGGAAATGATTCCTCACCAAATGCAACAGAAAGAAATTGTAACAGCAACAGTGTCAACACTTCTTCATCTCCTCTGGTACAGTATTAGCCTCTAGCTTCCTGATAATCTTTTTCTCCGTTGTGTTTCCTCATTTAAAAATTGCCTCCAGTCCTCAACCGTAATTTTTCCACTTTTATCTTATACACTCTTGTTTCCTATTAATATGTGGCAGCATTTTGGCTTTCTCCTTTCTTTTTTTTTTTTTTTTTAAGATTTTATTCATTTATTTGTCAGAGAGGGAGAGGGAGAGAGAGCGCGTGAGCACACAAGCAGGCAGAGCGGTGGACAGAGGCACCCAATGAGGGACTCCATCTGAGGACCCTGGGATCATGACCTGAGCCGAAGGCAGGGGCTTAACCGACTGAGCCACCCAGACGTCTTTCTCCTTTCTTTATTAACCCCCGCTCCTCACATGCAAAATTCTTCCACTCTTCGCTTGCGTCTTCCTCTCCCTACTCGCTTTCATGTTTCCATATATTCCTGTGATCTTGGACAGTACTTCATAATGTCCTTTAATATTTAGTCTGCTCCTGTTTAAAAAAAAAAAATCAGAACTAATTTTTGTGGTGACAGTTCGTGTTGCACAAGTGCCATATTTATAACAAACTTGAAACAAATCAATAAGAAAAAGAAGGGCAGCTCAGAAAAATGTGGAGAAGGATCTGAACAGAGCAATTCAGAGAAGAGATACCCAGATAGGCAACAAAAATATGAAAAGATGCTTTACTGCATGGTAATAGGGAAAATGCAGATCAAAACAGCAGTTAGGTACTTCTTTAAACCCATCACCGTGGCAAAATTTGAGTCTGGCGATACTAAGTATCACAGAGCTGTGTTCCCGATTGTAACGACCATGTGCTGTGGGTGGAAGTATAGGTTGGTACAGTTTGGCCATATGGAGTGAAGCGGAGGGTGTGGATGCCATGCCTTCAAGCAGTTCCATTCCTGGGGATGTCTCCTAGAGAAGCACTCCAATGTAGTACAAAGAAACATATTTCTTGCAACCTCATTTGTAACAGGAAGAGACTTAAGAAACATTGTCCATTAACAGCATGGCTACATTAATATACTGTAGTCATCACACAGTGGGAAGTGTTCTGAGCTCATAAACTCAAGAGTTTGACGCTCCTCCCTCCGTGTCAACATATTCAGATTGGTAATACTACAAAACCTACCAGAATAAGAGTGAATATGAATAAGGAATAGCTATGTGAAAGTAACTTTTGAGATTTTGAGAGTGACGATTCCTCTTTTTTTGCTAAATATTAAAATTATTAATTTGTGCTAAAAATGAAATTATTAGTATTGCCATTTTTTTTCTTTTTCTTCTTTTTTTAAGCATTGCCGTTTTTAAAAAAAGATTTTATTTATTTGTTTGGCAGAGAGAAAGACAGCGAGAGAGGGAACACAAGCAGGTAGAGTGGGAGAGGGAGAAGCAGGCGTCCCACTGATCAGGGAGTCTGATGTGCAGCTCCATCCCAGGACCCTGGGATCATGACCTGAGCTGAAGGCAGGTGTTTAATGACTGAGCCACGGAGGGGCCCCTAGCATTGCCATTTTTAACTGATGACCAGATAAGAAACACTTGGGGAATTATTTTAGACTGGATCCCTGAGCTCCATCTGAGTCTTTAGCACTGTAGAGGACTGTGATGCACGCCTTCTTATTTACACCCACTGGCCCAGGGGGATCACCAGGGGGGCTGTGGTCTGTCCTGGGGGAATCAGTGCTTCTGCTGAACTTGCCCTGATTGCTTTTTTGTCCCCCTCCCCCACTGCCTTATCTGTCTAGTTGCTATAACAGTGAGAACTTCGATCTAGCCAAGTAAACTGAGAAGCAGGGCTTGATGAGAATACCTAAGTTGATGAGGCTTGTTCATCTAACGAGCCAGAAATATCACAGAACCATTTAGAAGCACAGGAGGATAAAGCAAGATAACTGATTTAATCATCTAAAACTGTTTTTCATTTCCTTTTGTTCCAGAGCAATGTCAGAAGTAGTGAAAAGAAGGTGAAAAGGTGGGTATCGTGATGCAGTGCCCGTATTTGGAAATGAACTTTTGTTTCAGACTTAGGTTGTTAACTTTATTTACTAGGTCTTCAGTATTTGTAGAGTACTATATACCCTTCTTTGAGTGGAATTTCAGAAGTAGAAAGCATGGTTAAGGATCCCAAAAAAGTTTGAAATCTATAAACAAGTGATTTTACATATGTAGAGAAGTCTTTGAATTTATGTACACACTGCACTGTAGAGGAAAGGGCCTGTGGGGGTATCACTAGAGACATTGGTTAAGGGCATTATTTTGGACGAGGCTGACAGAAGTGACCCTGGAGAGGCACTTTCCAGAGAACTGCATTATTTTGCAGACAGGCAGGTAGGGTGGGGATGGTGTAATGACTTGGGTAAGAAAAGGAAAAGATCAGAGGTTATGTTAATAATGATGGATTGGTTTCTGGAACAGAAGAGAAAAACAAGGATATAATCTGAGTCATCAATGAGGACAGGACGGCAATAGGGGCCATAATGGGCCACCAACATATTCTGAACCAGAGATGTGTCAGGGAACGATGATTCCTGATGTGGGTGTTTAGGTGGAGGCAGGAGAGGTGTGTGGAAGGTGATCTGACATCTTGGTTATCATGGCAGTGATGAGGGGTGAGGAGAATTTGCAAGCCCGACTGTACAGGAAGAGTGGACAGGATTTGAGGGAATAGAGTTGCAATAACAGGGTGAAGAAGAGGCAAAGGAGAAAGGATTTGAAGATTGGTTCTTGTGGACGAGACACAGATGGAAATCATGGGCACTGATGGGGTTAAGGAAGTTCAAGACTTGAGGGCTTAGGGGGAAGATAGCAATTTGAATATGTTTAGTTTTCACTGGGGTTTGCACTTCCCAGAGCACATGGCTCACCACCCTCCAGGAATAAAGTACAAAGACCAGGAGCAAGGAGATCTGTTTTCTTTGGTTTTGAGTCTGTACGGGGAAAAGGAGAAGCTGGTAGATCACCAACATTGAATGTGGTAAGGCAAAAAAAAAAAAAAAAAAAAGGAATCAGGAAAGGAATGAAAAATTATTAGTGGACAGAGGAGAACTGTCAGTATACTGTTTTATAAAAGAAAGGTTAACACGTTCTACCCTGTAATTCTAATAGTGGACTCACAATATAAAAAAACTAGTACATGACATAAAGTTCTCTTTTATTTGAGTTTTATATTCTTCTCTTAAATTTTAGAACTTTGGCACCTACCTTTAACTCTCCTGTGAGCAAAGGAAACAAGCACACTGTGGAAGAAAGGTAAGAGGGAAACCTGTAAAAAAGATCTGTTTAAGGATATGTTTGCTCATTGGACAGATCTTCTGAAGGGACTATTGTACACCAGCCAGATTAATTCTATTTCTCTCTGAACAGTTAATTTTTTTTTTTTTTTTTTTTGGTATAGTCAGACCCCGAAAGGATCATTATCTCTTGGAGAAGTAATGTTTAGATGAATCCAAGTGGAATGTGGTAAATGTAGATCTGCGTGATACTTAAGTGAGTTTCTCTGACATCCATGGAAGTTTTTAATATTGAAGATAAATATTTCTTTAAGCCAGTGATTTTTTTCCCAAAAGACCCCCAAAGGAATCGAAGTAGATCCACTCGAATCTGTTTTCCATTTTCCAGCTCCATTCCAGATTTCATGTTGAAAAGAGTTTCCTCTTGTGATAGATTATGTGTTTGGGTTTAAACAAAATATCAAAAACAAATGTGAAACCTATTTGCAACAGGAGGACACTGACCTCATATATACCTGGCACTGTGCTGGGCATTGGATCTAGAGCAGGAACAAATAGAAACAGCTTCCACCCTCACAGAGTTTTGTGGGGATGATAATTATGTGAAAAATCTGTAATTATAATCTCTGGTCAGAGGTGTGAAGGGAAAGCAATGACATGGTACAAAACAGAAATAGGACCCTTGGGTTTAGTGTGAGGGGTGAGGCAAAGGCTTTCTGTGGGGTCACCCATGTGGGGGCACCTGGAGGATGAGTTAAGCACGGGGAGATGGGGTGTGTGGCTTCACAAAAGCAGAACATGCAGAAAAGTGAAGGTAGGAGAGTTGTGTGAGTGTTCAAGGGGCAGAGGCTGTGTGCTTGGAGTGTGGTGAGCAAGGGCGCCATGCCACTGGACAAGCTGGGGAGGGAAGCACGAGACCCCTTGTAGGCTGTCTAAGGACTTCCTGGGGTTTGCTGAGAGCAGAAGGGGGCTGTTGGACCATTTAGGCAAAAACAAAGAGACATGTTCAGAATTTCTCACCCTGCTCGCTGTGTGGCTCATGGACTGGAGTAAAGCACGGAGAGGGAGTGGAGTGTCCGAGCCAGTACGGTTCTGAAGGAGCCTGATGGGATCTTGAACTGGTGTGAAGATGTTGGAGATGAGGAAAAGTGGGCACACACCTGTGATGTGTTTGGGGAGTAGAACTGCCAGGGCTGAATGATGGAATGTGGGGCAGGAGAGAGAGGGGAAGACCAGGTAGTTACAAACGTAGGTAAGCTCAGAGACCATGCTCATTTCTCTTATGATAGCTTGGTGGTAGCTGGGGAACCAGCATGACCACGAGATATGTTGGGAGCAGGAGCGGGAGAAACTAAGACTTGGTGCTTGAAGAGTTTCACTCTTCTTATTTAGAAGGGAGCGCCATGTTTGCTATAACCTCTATCCAGCCGGTGACCTTAAGGGCAAGTGGAAGGGTGGGGTAGGGGCGGGGAGAGGGCCATGACCACAGAACTCAGAGTAACAGAGGCGTTTCTCTTTTCAGGTTTGCTAATGATTTTACAGAAATAATGCCAATTGGCTTAGGCGGATATGGTCATGTTTTCAAAGCAAAGCACAAAATTGATGGGAAGATTTATGTTATTAAACGTGTTAAATATGATAAAGAGTAAGTACATGTTTGTTTCTTCGAATGAGAAGGTTTGTCAGCAGTACAAGCTAGTTGGTACCCATCCCATTTGTCTATTATTGCATTATACACCATGTCAAAATGTAGTGGCTGAAAAAGAACAGGTATTATTATCTGTCACTGTTCTGTGAGTTGGATATGTTCGTCTGGGCTATCCCCACACGGGATCTGTTACGCATTTTTAGTCAGAAGTCATCAGAAAGCTTGGGGGTGCCTGGGTGGCTCAATGGGTTAAGCATCTGCCTTTGGCTCAGGTCATAATCTCAGAGTCCTGGGATCGAGCCCTGCATCGGGCTCCCTGCTCAGCAGGGAGTCTGCTTGTCCCTCTCCCTCTGACCCTCCCCCCACTCATGCTCTCTCTCTCTCTCTCACTCTCTCTCTCCCTCTCCCTCTTTCACAAATACATAAATAAAATCTTTTGAAAGAAAAGAGTCCTCAGAAAGCTTGGCCAGGGATGGGAAGGGGACATGGGCTAAGGAAAACGATGTGAGCAAAGGAGAAGCAGGCATGGAGTCCTAGCCACTCCTCATCTCAGCCAAACAAACCTCCTTCCTGTGCCATGGACAATGCCTTGCAGTTGAAATCCCTCCATACCCACCTGGTATCAAAACAAGACTTTTTCTTTCCACGTTGGGGTGTGTGTGTGTGTGTTTTAAGGATTTATTTATTTATTTTAGAGAGAGGGAGAGAGCGAGAGAGAGAGCACACACAGGTCAGGGGATGGGGGCAGAGAGGGAGAGGGACAGAGAATCTCAAGCAGACTTCATGCCAAGCATGGAGTCTGACATAGGGCTCGATCCCATAACCTGAGCTGAAACCAAGAGTCAGACGCTTAGCTGACTGAGCCATCCAGGTGCCCCTCTTTCCGCATTGAAGTGTTATTCCTTACATTCAGTAACTTTTTTTTTTAATGGTAATACTTAACAATGATAAGGATATAGTATCTTGGACATTTTTAGTGGCTTCATAAATTAGTATAACACAGTTATGAATATACTTGGAATATTTATTCACCATGACACACGGGTTTCCGGTGTGGGAATCTATTCTAAGGATATTATCCAAATGATGGAAAAAGTTGTACAAGAAGATGTAAATCACAGTGTCATTTATAACAGTGAAACATGAGAACAAATCAAATGTCCAACAATGAAGAAGTGATTAAGTATGTTCTGTTCTCTCCCCTGCTCAATGGCAAAACAAAGTGGCTCAGTGGGTTAAGCCTCTGCCTCTGGCTCAGGTCATGATCTCAGGGTCCTGGGATCGAGCCCCGCATTGGGCTCTCTGCTCTGCTCAGCAGGGAGCCTGCTTCCTCCTCTCTCTCTGTGCCTGCCTCTCTGCCTACTTGTGCTCTCTTTCTCTCTGTCAAATAAATAAATAAAACCTTTTTTAAAAAAAGTGAGGCTTATATACTGAAAGTATTTACACGTGAAATGGTATGATGCTGGAATTTGCTTCAGAATAATCCAGGGGAGATGAGGAAGTGAGTAAGAGCATAGATGAAACCAGATTGGCCAGGAGTTAATAACTGTTTCATCTGGGTGATGGCTAGGTAGCAGGTCATGATACTATTTGTTCTAATTTTTTGTACTTTTGAAATCTTAATGAGAAAGTTTTACATGATATGTATAGATTACATAGATTGTGTAACAAGGAAAATGTAAAGATAACCTGTTATGTGAAAAATAGGATAAAAATTATATACTATAATTATAAGTATATAAAAATATGTATGAAACGATCTCTCTGATATGAGGAATATGAGAGACTGGGTGGGGGGTCATAGGGGTAGGGAGGGAAAAAAATGAAACAAGATGGGATCGGGAGGGAGACAAACCATAAGAGACTCTTAATATCACAAACGAACTGGGGGTTCCTGGGGGGTGGGGGAAGGTAGGGAGAGGGTGGCTGGATTATGGATAAGGGGGAGGGTGTGTGCTATGGTGAGTGTTATGAAATGTGTAAGCCTGATGATTCACAGTCCCATACCCCTGAGGCAAATAATACATTTTATGTTAATAAAAAAGTCATTAAGTTAAAACCAAAAAAATGTGTATGAAGAAAGATGGTAAGAAACAAACCAAAATAATCACTGATTGTATTAGGACTGTTAATGTATGAGTACTTTTTCTTCCTTTATTCTTATAAATTTTGTGTCATGTAGGTATAGAACTTTTCAAGTTAAAAAATGGGATTATAAAATGTTTTCTTACCCTCTCTCACCCTTGAAATCTCAAATTTAATAATTCCGTGTAGTGCAGAATTTTGCTCTTGATCCCATATCCATGTAAAGCTCCCACACGTACAGTGTAGTCTCCCTTTCTCGGCATAGGAGATCTCCTTTGTCTATTTTTGCTACACACTGAAAATTCTGATTTGCGTTCTTCAAGTTGCCTAGATTACCCTTGCAGCCCAAACAGGGTTGGCTTGAGAAATCCAAAGTGATTTTAACACAAGTCTAAACAAAATATGATGTGTGAATTAGTTACCAAGGTTTGCATGACTGGCATTTCGGAGACCACCACGAATGACTTTTAAATTATCTGATACTTGGGATTAATGAAGTCACCGCTTCTTCTGTTATGTTGAGAATGAGAACAGCTGCGTATTTTCTGTGTGTTCAGTCTTTCCTTTGCAGGGCTCCTGGCTTCCATTTATTTTTATTTTTTAAAAAGATTTAATTTATTCATTTGACAGAGATCACAAGTAGGCAGAGAGGCAGGCAGAGAGAGAGAGGAGGGGAAGCAGGTTGCCTGCTGAGCAGAGAGCCCCAAGCAGGGCTCGATCTCAGGACCCTGGGATCACTACCTGAGCCGAAGGCAGAGGCCCAACCCACTGAGCCACCCAGGTGCCCCTCCTGGCTTCCATTTTAAACACTCAGGGTGTGGGAACCAGGGCGACCATTGAATAAGGAAGCACATGTAGCTGTCTTGTTACTGGACTTGTAGTTTTTACAGGGATGTATAATGACACTTTTCTCTTCCTTATTTCTTTAAAGGAATAAGGTAGAGCGTGAAGTAAAAGCTTTGGCAGATCTTCATCACCTAAATATTGTTCAGTACTATAATTGCTGGGCTGGGGAAGATTACCATCCTGAGGACAGCGTAAATCCTTCAAGGTAACTACAAAGAATTCTCGTAGCTCTAATAGGATGGAGGAAACTGTTATTTATGAAGTGTGGGCCACCAGTTAAGGCCATTAATTAGTACTATCACAACCACAAATTCTGTTTTGGACGCTGTTATGTCTCTATTCACCAGATAAGGAAATAACGAGCAATCTTTTCATGGCTCCTATTCCTTGCTCCTGACTTGCTTAAATTTTTTTTTTTAACTGTCCTCAGCTATTTTCAGAACCTCAATGTGTAGGCTTGCTCACGTGCCCCAACCTCAGGCCAGGCTGTAAACGCAGCTTCATGAAGAAGGTTTCAATGTGTTGTAGATGCTACAGCTGGCAGCCTGTCCTCAGCTTCTAGCACTTTCCTGTCCTTCTCAGAGGCCCCTGGTTTGTGGAGTGCAGTCAAGTGGGTGGAGAGTCTCTCTCTTTTTAAAATTTAAATTTTTTAAAAATTTTAAGTAGACTCCATGCCCAACAAGGGGTTTGAACTCACAATCCTGAGATCAGGAGTCACATGCTCTCCCGACTGAGCCAGCTAGGTGCCCCAAGGAGTCTCTGTTGAATACAGTCACACCACTTATGGTGGAATGGTGGGCAGTGAAAATAATTGTAAGACTATGAGCTGTGATCGGGGTACCCCGCTGGGTATCACTCATGTTTTGTCTCAAGCCCTTGACAAAGGACTGGAAGGTTCTAAAAACCTGGCATGTCCCTCTGAAAGCCAGCCAGTGTTTCTTGAGGACTATCCTCACAGAAATCCTGAGGACATTGAGGTCCTGTTCATTTATTGACTCCCGACTCCAGCCCCAGCCCCACCTATGGTAGAGAGGTAATTGAGAGCTTTATCATTAGTTTCGGGAGTTACTGACCACCAGCATACAGACAGGACTTCTTCAGCTTTTAGCAAATTCTTGGCTTTCTCTTCCTATTTTCTAGCCAACATAAGTTCAAAGAATATAAGTTAATATTGAGGCCAAGCTAGTTGAGAAAGCAACATAAAAGCATGGTTAGCAGACTCAATCCTCACGGGTATGTCATAGGAATTTATTGGCACTACTCTTTGAGGACATTTCCTTATGCTGTTTTCAATTTGTTTTGCATGTATTTCTCTCACTAAACCGTAACCCGCATGATGGCAAGGATGGCATCTAACTCATTTTTTCATCTCTAGGTGCCTGTTCTAGGCCTTCCACAAAACAGAACTCAGTAGGTTGATGGTAAATTAAAATGTTCCAGAATTCTTTTATGTAGTGGTGAACTTTGGTTTTCTTTAATTCCATCGCGTTAATGTTCTTATTCCTATTAGCAAAGGTGATCCAGGATCCTTCACCATTAAAGAATGGTCAGACTCATACTTTATAGTTCACAAATAAAGCTCTGGACATTTGGGAACTTAGGATTTAAATGAAAAGATGACTTATTATATTTTGATCAAGTTTGTTATATTTAGATTTCTGTTTTGAGACATATTTGGGGATTCTTAAGGAGATAAAGTACAATTTTAAAAAGAAAGGTTATTTTTTATGAATTTATTTTTATTGCTGACTTGTAACGTACTGTGAATTTTATATCCAGACCAAAGATTAAATGCCTTCTCATCCAAATGGAATTCTGTGACAAGGGGACATTGGAAGCATGGATTGATGACAGAAGAGGCAAGAAACCAGACAAACCTTTGTCTCTGGAATTATATGAACAAATAGCAGAAGGTGTAAAGTATATACACAGCAAAGAGCTAATTCACAGAGACCTTAAGGTAATGGAAAATGTACTTTTCAGATTTGATAAATATGATATAGTCATTTTTAAATTTACCTTCTCTAGTTTTAGAATTGATGGATAGTCCTGAAAAATACTAAATCCTTTAAAGTTAGAATGGATCTAGAACTTGCCCCAAATACCATTCCATAGCAGCACACAGAAGACCTCCAGGACAAATGAATTTATCGAGACAGTCAGAAGGAGTCCTATAGGCAGGAGCTCATTTACTTCTGCTGCTATCTGGCCGCTCATCATACTCTGGGTGCAAGTACCAGTAGCTTTCGGAAGCTGAACATCCGTGTGCAGATGGTTACCATGGCTGGCACACCAGTGGGCCGCTCTGTCCCTGCCTCTACCGCTACTCAGGCTTGTTTGGCAAGCAGAAGAGACTCCCGTGACTGGCTTTGGGAAGGTGGTTCTCCTAATTTCTTTTTTTTTTTTTCCTTTAAGATTTTATTTATTTATTTATTTATTTGACAGAGAGAGAGAGAGAGAGAGAGATCACAAGTAGGCAGAGAGGCAGGCAGAGAGAGAGGAAGAAGCAGGCTCTCCGCTGAGCAGAGAGCCCGATGTGGGGCTCGATCCCAGGACCCTGAGATCATGACCTGAGCAGAAGGCAGAGGCTTAACCCCCTGAGCCACCCAGGCGCCCCCACCTTTAAGATATTGTTAAAGGAAGATGGAACCAGGGGCACCTGGTGGCTCAGTTGGTTAAGCGTTTGCCTTCAGCTCAGGTCATGATCCTGAGGTCTTGGGAGGGAGCCCCAAGTCAGTCTCCCCAGTTGGTTGGGAGTCTGCTCTCCCTCTCTCTGCTCATGCATTCTCTCTTGTGCTCTCCCTCTCTCTCTCAAATAAATAAATAAAATCTTCAAAAAAAGAAAGAAAGAAAGCAAAAAAGATGGAACCAGGCGGATTCCAACACAAAGGCCTCAAGCCTCCAGCTCCTGGGGGCAGACCAAAGACACACTTTTATGGGCCAATTATTCCCGTCTAAGCCCAACAACTCTATATCCAGGGGCTTCTTTTTCTCAAGAAACTTTTAGCTTCATTCCTCATTCCTGGCTTATCGATGAGCAGGATAAGCAGACAGCCAAGATCCATAGAGACGAGGTGCTTCTGCGGGATCCAGAGTGATCAAGAAGGGCTATGTAAAGAAACTGAGACCAAAGAAGACAAACAGAAGAACAGGTCGAGCAAAAAGTACAAAATGACAAAATATATATTTTTAAGTATTATATTTTTAAGCAATGTCTACACCCAACATGGGGCTTGAACTCACCACCCTGAGATCAAGAGTCTCATGCTCTACCAACTGAGCCAGCCAGGCACCCCAGGAATAGCATAATATTAATCTCCTTATCAACAACATTCCTGTTTTCATGGTCTTTAGAATGTTGGTCAGTACCACCTACAAAATTATGGAATAAAATGAACAGTCCCCATTCTGTCCCCCTCCCATTTTTTTCAGTCTGCTTAGAATATTACATACATAGACAGAAATACTTAAGTGCTAGTTATCAGCTTTCAGTTAATGTGGCCTGACCTCAAGGACAGAAGCGGTATGTTTGTCAAGAAGTTGTCAGGGGGCTGGAGAAATTGACATCGAGGAAGTCCCCAGGAGAAATTCTGCATAGGATATCTTAACAGCTTTATCGAGAAGAGACTCATTCTGAGAATCTCAAACTTAGAGATCTGAAGGGCTTCTGCTTCAATCCCCAACAGATTCCTGGACTCATATTTGCAATATTTCTACCAAGTCGATGTCCAGCCCCACTCCCTGAGATGGGGACTCTCAAATTCCCATTTTTTGGACCACACTGTTAGTATATTAGGATATCTTAAAGCAAGCCTTTTGGTTGTTTCTATGCTCTAGTACTGTGCAGAGTAGAATCTACCTTCCACTAAGCATCTCTTCAGATAATAGAAGGCAGTTAGGCCCGAAGCCTTCTCAGGTGATTGAGAAGTCCTTATGTCCTCAGCTGGTTCTTTAAAGACCTTTGGTATTAAATATCCTGTTTTGGGCTACCCATGTAAGGGTAAATGCCTTATAAAGAAATATAAAAATAGCCATTGTTAAATATGATTTGGAGATGTGACAACAGTCTGTTGAATTGGTACTTATAAATTAAATATTGGGTTTTTTTTCTGTAGCCAAGTAACATATTTTTAGTAAATACAAAGCACATAAAGATTGGAGACTTTGGACTTGTGACATCCTTGAAAGATTATGCAAATCGGACAAGTAGTAAAGGAACTCTTCGATACATGAGCCCAGAGCAGGTGAGATCCCTTTCCTTTCTATGTATTTTTCACTTCTTTTGAATTTTTAATTCTAGAGATAATAGGTGCCTCTTGTAAAATTAAAACAGCACAGAACCATGTAGAATAAAAATGGAAAATTCTCTTTAACCTTCCCTTCTACTCCTGCTCTTCTCATAGAGTCTTGTTTATCCTTTCAGATAATCTTCTCTGAATTATAAACATATATAAACACAAATATGTATGTATATAGAGCCTTTTTTTTTTCAAAGATTTTATGTATTTATTTGACAGAGAGAGAGAGATCACAAGTAGGCAGAGAGGCACGAAGACAGAGGGAGAAGCAGGCTCCCTGCTGAGCAGATGAGCCTGATTCAGGGGTTGATCCCAGGACCCTGAGATCATGACCTGAGGCGAAGGCAGAGGCTTAACCCACTGAGCCATCTAGGTGCCCCTAGAGACTTTTTGCATAAAGATATAAGGACATGCTTTTACAAGTTACTGTAATGTTGTTTTGTGACTTAATTTTTTTCACTCAACAGTGTATCCTAATCTTTCCATCTCAGCACAGGTGGATCTGCACATTCATTTTACTAACTACATTGTATGCTGACCTATACCATCATTAATGTAACTTTCCTTCTTGATAGTTATTTAGTTAGGCTGTTAGCAAGTTTTTACATGTTTTCCCCTTTATCTTTGACTCTAAAAACAAGTATTTCCATCATCATCTGTGATAGGTTCCTTCAAGTAAAATTATTGAGTTGAATGACATTTCTTTTTTTCTTTTTAAAGATTTTATGTATTTATTAGACAGAGGGAGACACAGCAAGAGAGGGAACACAAGCAGGGGAAGTCAGAGAAGGAGAAGCAGGCTTCCTGCTGAGCAGAGAGCCCGATGCAGGGCTCGACCCCAGGACCCTGGGATCATGACCTGAGCCAAAGGCAGCTGCTTAATGACTGAGCCACCCAGGTGCCCCTGAATAGAATGACATTTCAAGTGCATTTCAGAATTGGCCAATACTGTGAAATCGGCAGGCTCCTTCCCCTTGTTCAAGTCCTCTCTCAAGACAGCCTTTCCGGGTAATCCTATGGTAACCGGTGACTCCCAGTCTCATAGGGGCATACAGAATATCAAAGATTTATTTCTCACCCCCGTAATGTGTTGGCTGCAGTCTGGCTGTGGTTTGGTCCCACGTGTCTCCTTCATTCCAGAGCCCAGACTGAAGGAAGCATCCTATCCGTATCATTGCTTTCCTCATAGCTGGGGGCCATGGCAGGATCTCGTGGTGATTGGGCAGGCTCTGCCCAGGAGTGGCGTACATTACTAACCATCATGGCCCTGTGCAAATTGCATGGCCCAGCCCAAGGGGAGGAGATGGCAGGTGTCATCCTTTCACTGCCCAGCTGGGAGCAAAGATAGACCTCCCTGAAGGCCATGTTTATATTCTTCAATGAAGTTTCAAAATATTTTTTTTCTTCACCAAGACCACTTATATTTTTAAAGCATTTCCCTCAATATGTATAGTGTTTTGCTATGAAAATGGGCCTCCTTGTATCTAATTGGTTATTAACAAGGCTATTGATTCTAAGACATTTTTATTTTTAATTCTGATAAAATACATATAAAGTAAAATTTACCATGTTCTCCATTTTTAAGTGCACAGTTGAGTGGCATCAAGTATATTTACATTTTAGTGCAATCACTTCCACCATCCCTCTCCAGAATTCTTTTCATCTTGCAAAACTGAAACTCTGCACCTCTCAAATAGCTCCACATTCCCCTCTCCCTCAGCCCTGGCAACCACCATCCTGCTGTCTCTATGAATATGTCTGCTCTAGATACCTTGTGTAAGTAGAATCATGCAGTATTTGTCCTTCTGTGACTAGCTTTTTCCATGCAGCATAATATTCTCAATATTACCTATGCTGTAACATATGTCAGAATTCCCTTCCTTTTTAAGGCTCAACAATATCCGTACAACAAATTGTATGGATAGATCACATCTTGTTTGTCTCTTCATCCATCAGTGGATACTTGGGTTGCTCCAGCTTTCAGCACTAGTGAAAATTGCTGTTACGAACCTGGTTGTCCAGCTATTGATTGTGAATGTTTGTCTTGTATGTAGATTTCATTACTCTAGGAGCTTGTATGTTTCGGTTGATACTTTATTATCTATTTTTCATCTTTTTGATGTTTGAGAGTCTAGATTGAAGAGGACATCCACCTGTTCTCTTTGGGGACCATGTGGCACAGAGATATAATTTTTTTGTGGAATGTGAAAATGGAAGATAACAGGTGGCTGATGGCTCCCCTTTAACTCCCACTTTTAAAAATATCTCCTGCACCCTATATTGCAGTCCTAAATATATTTTTTAAAAATTCGTTCATCATTGTGCTTTTCTTTTTTTTTTTTTAAGATTTTATTTATTTATTTGAGAGAGAGTGAGAGAGAGAGAGAGAGAGAGAGAGAAAGAGAGCAAGTGGGGGGGAGGGTCAGAGGGAGAAGCAGACTCCTCACTGAGCAGGGAGTCTGACCTGGGACTCGATCCTGGTACTCCAGGATCATGACCTGAGCTGAAGGCAGTCGGTCAACTGACTGAGCCACGCAGACTCCCTGTGCTTTTCATTTTCTTAGTGGTTTTTAAGTTGAAAATCATTTTGTTAGGGGATGATTTATATACCATAAAATATATATCTTAAATGTACATTTTTGACAAAGGCACATTCCTTTGAAACCCATAAGCTTATGAAAATGTAGAACACTGTCCTCACCTGGGAAAATTCCCTCAGGCCCTTTCCAGTCCATCCCTCCTTCCCAGAGGAAATCAGTGCTCTGATTTCTGTCACCACAGAGTAGTTTTCCCTGTCTTGAGCTTCATATGAATGGAATCATACTTTATATATCTTTTTGTATTTGATTATTTCACTCGAAGTAATGTCTATTGGAGAACTTCTAGTTGTTGCTGATGCCAACAGGTTATTCCTTTTCATTACTAAGTACTATTCCATTGCCCTGATAGACCGCAATGTGTTTATCCATTCTCCCATGGATGGACATTGCTTCCAGTCAGAATATTAGAAATGCATCTCTATGAGCATTTGCATGCAAGGCGCTTAGTGAGAACTGTTTTAACTATTTTACCTGCTGCATCTTATTTATTTATTTGTTTGTTTATTTATTTATGGTGCATCTTATTTAACACCATAGTTGAACTCTGAGGTTGAAACTTTTGTTATCCTCATTTTAGGGTTGAGATTATTCTACCCTTGACAGTTAATTTACATGGTTGATGCAGCTCTTAAGTGACAGCATTGAACCAGGGTAGTCGGGTGTTGCTAACAAACAATGTCTTGTTACATGATATAAGATATCTTGGTCAAATAACTTTCTTGGCTTCAGAAAACATGGATCTTTACATTGGGTGAATAATGAGTGTAAACATATCTTGGTCTTTTTAGATTTCTTCACCAGAATACGGAAAAGAAGTGGATATCTTTGCTATGGGGCTAATTCTGGCAGAACTTCTTTATATATGTCCCACTCTTTCAGAAACAATACAGGTAACTAATCTCACGAAAGGAATTAAGCAACAAAAATTATTTGCAGTCATCTCCAAAGTGCTCTATGGTAATTATCCTCATGTGAGGATTGGCTTGAATATATTCGTGTTGACTGAAAAAGAAATACGGATTTTATCTTTTCCATGTTTGGGCAACCAAAGCTTTTTGTTTAAGACTGAAACCTTTGGTCTTCTTCCAGAGGTGTGTACACCTCATAAAACGACAGCTGTTTCTTACTTGAGTCAGTCAGTAAACTTTTATTGATTGCCTGGTTTGTAAAAGACACTGTGCTAAGTGCTACAGGGTTATAAAAATGGATGAACCTTGCTCTAAAGGAGCTTATATTCTAGAAAGGAAAATAAGAGAATGCTATGCATGTTTTGGGAGAAGACATGAAGCTTTGTGGAGATGGCTAGGACAGAGATCTTGCTAGCTATAGGGATTTCGGTTTCATGGGGGTATTTAATCTGGGCTTTGAAGGATTGGTTCACTTCTAATGACCCAAAATAGAAAGAAGGCAATTCCAGCCTTCAGACAGCAATGTGCAGAATGTGGGGATAGCAAGCAGTGGCATTTTTATTGGAGTATATAAGTGACAAGGAAGTGATGGTTGGTGGCACTGGAAAGACATGTTGGGGCTGGACGAAGGCAAGATGATGGTCTTTCTTATGGAGGCAATGGGTTGCTCCTAAAGGCATTAGGCAAATGGATAGCTTGGTCTGAGGCTCAATAAAGGGAACTTGGCTGGAGCCAACAGCCTTCTCTGTACAACTGGGTAATGAAACACCTATCACATAGGATTCCAAAAAAGATGAAGGGAGATAATGCATGTGATGCCCTTAACACTTCAACATATCATGTTGTTAAGGATGGAGCAAGGTGGGGAAGGGAAGTCCTGCATGCTTCTTGGCTAAGAAGCAACTTTGGTTTTCCTCCCAAGTAAAGAATTTCCTAATGATTTTATATGTTTTATTTTCAGATTTTTAAAGCGCTAAGGGATGAGAAGTTCCCAGATGTGTTTGACGCCAGAGAAGTAAGCACTTGAAAATAATCATAATTTTATTTATTTCAATGTTCTATTTCTTAGTATTGACTCATTATCATTACAGAAATTTCTTCTGCATAAATTACTGTCACATGATCCCACAAAGCGACCTAATGCTTCTGAAATACTGGAGACTTTGAAGGAGTGGAAAAATGTTGCAGTGAAAAAGGAACGAAACACGTATTAGAGCCCTTTTAAAAAAAGTATCCTACTTTGGATATTGAATTTTTCTGTAACTGTCTAAAATCTTCTAGGAACTACTGATGGTATTTACCTTCTATTTTAATTTTTCCCTTAATTTTTCACTACATTTTAGGAAGATTTGAATTTTTTTTAACTTCAAAATCATTTATACATTTGCCTTATTTTCCTGGTTTATCTCCTTATTATAAACATAGGGAATCTCTCAAATTTTTTCTATCTATTAGTGAATCAATCAATTAATAAATGTTAAGTGTTCATTCTTTCTGGGCCAAAAAATATAAGAAGATGTTTCCCTGTCTTAGATAGCTAACCAGCTCATTAAAGAAATATGATATCCATAAAAAGATAAGTGGTTTTCTGATTTTGGAAAACAGTTTGGTCAAATCTGGTTAGGTTGAAGGTTTATATACCCTCAAAGCCATCAATTCCAATCCCATGTGCATGCCTACAAGAATGTTCATAGAAAGTCTGTTTGTAATAGCCAAAAGAACAAAAAAAAAATGTCCATCACAAGAAGAATAGATAAATACATTTTATTTTTTCACACATTGTAATACTATATAGCAGTGAAAATGAATGAATGATAAGCTAAATATAGTACCATGATTTATCTCATAGGAACATAATGTTAAACAAACAGCCGGTTACAGAAAATATAGACAGAATGGTTCTCTTCACATAAAGTTCCAGAGAAGGCTAAATGAAATAATTTTGTTTAGAAATGCAAACAAATGCGATCCAACAATAAAGGGAAAGAAAGGAATAAGAAATATTAAATCCCATAGTGATTCTCTGAGGAGGGATGGAAGTGGTGTGACCCGGGGGGGTGAACTGCAAAGGTAAGAATTCACCATTTTTTCTTAAACTGTTGAGTTTACTACTGCTTACTGCCTAGTTTTTCTTCTTTTTTTTAAATCTTAAATACCTTTTGTATCTGTTAGGACACACCCTTTAAAGATATAGCTGTGCTGGAAGGCAGGAGGTAAGCACAGAAAGTAGTCAATGTGGAGGGGTTCATGTGAGACCCCTTTCTACTAACATATCATGGCGCAGGGCTTAGGCGTGGCATTCCAGTGAGACTTCAAGTAGGGGAGGGGTTTAACTGAGTAGAGAGGAACCGTTTGGGCAGTAGTCTGGGCAAGAGGCGTGGCTTGAGTTCTGGAAGAGATACACCTGAGGAACACTGGATATACTCATTTATTTCCCTGGATTGCTGGAGGGAATACCAGAAGATAATTTGGGTGGCATTCTGGAAGAACCTGAAAGCTGATTTGAACTTTAGAGCAACCAACTACCATTCTAAAATTGTCATATAATTTTACATTTTTTTTCTAAAGATTTTATTTATTTGACAGACAGAGATCACAAGTAGGCAGAGAGGCAGGCAGAGAGAGAGAGTGGGGGGAAGCAAGCTCCCTGCTGAGCAGAGAGCCCGATGCGGGGCTGGATCCCAGGAGCCTGAGATCATGACCTGAGCCGAAGGCAGAGGCTTTAACACACTGAGCCACCTGGGTGCCCCAATTTTACAGTTTTTAAAATGAGCCAAATTTAGGCTAAGCAGAAAACTATAGAGAAAATGCTTTTATAAAGGTTTATGGCTATTTAAAAAAATTTTTTTTAAAGATCTTATTTATTTATATGACAGAAAGAGATCACAAGTAGGCAGAGAGGCAGGCAGAGAGAGAAGAAGGGAAGCAGGCTCCCCGCAAGCAGAGAGCCCGATGTGGGGCTCGATCCCAGGACCCTGGGATCATGACCTGAGCCAAAGGCAGAGGCTTTAACCCACTGAGCCACCCAAGTGCCTGGCTTATGGCTATTTCTAAAAAGTTACTAAAAGCAGTTAATATGGTTTTCAACTCCCAATGGAGTATGTGACAAAGGGAAGGTTTATGGATGAATGCTAAAGCTATTGGTTGAAAAGGCGTTGGGGAACAAGATCTTCACAGGAATTAAGCATAATCCCACAGATGTTATATCAGAAGGGGAAGAAGGGAAATTCACCTTTGCAATGGAAAGATCTCATCCTCTTCTCAATAACCACTTGGTTAAATCTAGCATCACTGAAGGTGGGACAAACTAATATTATGCCTCTTCTAATGTGATTGATGTAAGAATTATACACTATCACGTATTTAGTTTTATTGCCCAAGCATTTTACTGAAATTCAATCATGAAGAAATTATTAGACAAACCCCGAATGAAGTCATTCTATAAGATAATTACTTTGGGTTTTTCAAAAAAAAGTCAGTATCATTAAAAAAAAAAAGTAGAGGAAGTATTCTAAGTAGAAAGGGACTCTCTAGAGAGATATCATGACCAAATACAATGCTTGAATTTTGATTGTATCTTAGATATTAAAAAAAACAACAACAAAACAAAACAGCACGGGCACCTGGGTGGCTCAGTCAGTTAAGCAGCTGCCTTCGGCTCAGTTCATGATCCCAGGGTCCTGGGATCGAGTCCCATATCGGGCTCTCCGCTCAGTGGAGAGCCTGCTTCTCCCTCTCCCTCTGCCTGCTGCTCTGCCTGCTTGTGCTCACTATCTCTCTCTCAAATAAATAAATAATCTTTTTTAAAAAAACAGCAAATAGCTTAGTTCTTTTGGGGACAATTAAGAACATTTGGATATTGACTGCATATTAGATGGCATTATAGATGATAATTTTTGTAGGTGTGGTAATGATACTGTCATGCAGGAAAATGTCTTATTCTTAGGTAATGCATGAGAAAGTATTTAGGGGTGAAGTGGCATGATAATGGCAACTTTTTTTTTTTTTTTTAAAGATTGCTTATTTATTTATTTGAGAGAGAGAGCAGGAAGGGGGTGGGAGGGTAGTGGTGGCGGAAAGGCAGAGAGAGAAGCAGACTCCCCGCTGAGCAGGGAGCCCAACGTGGGGCTCGATCATGACCTGAGCCAAAGGCAGACACTTAACTGACTGAGCCACCCAGGTGCCCCAATATTGGCAACTTTCAAATGTTCAGCAAAAATCAATTATGTACATGAAGAGAAGGAGAAAGCAAATGGGGTGAAATGTTAATAGCTGAACAACTGATAAATCTCGTTGGAGGATATAGAAGTTATTAATGCACATAAGTGATTTAGCTTTTATGCGTATACGTGTGTGTGTGTGTGTGTGTGTGTGTGTGTGTGTGTGTGGCCGGCTACATAATTTGTGGGACCCAGTGAAATCAAAACATGAGGACTTTGTTCAAAAATCAAGCATGGGCACTTCTTGAACACAGAATTTTGTGCAACTGCAACAGTTCCACATCCATGAGGTCAGACACACATGTGAACATAACACATATCCATGTGCACACACATATATGTGCACACACACGTAACTGAGATGAAATGTTTAGAAGTCTAAATACCAGCTTCTCCAAGACTCCATTATCCAGGACACTGACTAGAAACATAAACTCACAATATCCATTCCCTACTTGAGTGTTCATCGTAACTTGAGGTTCCTGGCATGTTCATTTTTTATTATAGAATAATGAATGATTCTAATATTATTCATATTTTAATAAATTTTTATGTTAAAACATACATCAAAACAGAGAATAAGGGGAACGTCTGGATGGCTCAGTTGGTTAAACATTCAACTCTTCATTTTGGCTCAGGTCATGATCTCATGGTGGTGGATTGAGCCCCAAGTCAGGCTCTGCGCTCCCCTCAGCAGGGAGCCTGCTTCTCGCTGTCTCTTTCCCTCTGACCCAACCCCTGCTATCTTTCAAATAAATAAAATCTATAAAAAAGGAAAGAAAAGAATAGCGATACTCTGTGTATCCATCACCCAGTTTCAACAACGATCAATATTCTACCTTTCTTGTTATATCTGTCCCTTTTTTTTTTTAATTTTTACTGTAGTATTCTAAAATGAATGTTAGGTGTTATATAATTTCACTTGTAAATACTTAAAAGCGTATCTCTGATACAAGATCTTTTGAATTTCAACAAAACCACGATAACATTTTCATTCAACAAAATTAATAAGATTTCTTTGATTATCATACAATAATCTTAAATGTATTCAGTTTTCTTCACAAAAGAAATATTTTTACTGGTTGTTTAAATCAGGGTCCATCACTGTCTCTTACTCTAACACTTACCCCTGTTTTCAGTTTTTTCTTCTTGCCATTCATTTGAGGAAGGAGCTGGATTGATTTGATTCTGGTTTAGATTTTTCCCCCCAAGAATGCTGCATTGGTGATGCTGGATACTTCCTTTGGCATCGCTTTGGGAGGAATATGTTTGGTTGTTCCATTTTTTTGTGATCTGAAGATTGATCGGTGGGCTCCAGGGGTGTCATGTCCTATCAGGTTTCCTACCCATCTTCCACCTAACAGTTGTGGCAACCATTGATGATTGTTGTTTGGATCCATTATTTCTTTAGGGGTTGCAGAACAGGGATTTTCGGATCCTATCAGAACTCTTTGTCATCTGTGATTCTTCTATAAAGAACTTAAGTGGGACAGATGGGATATTTATTTTTAGAATGAGTTGGTGCCCTGGCAACCTCCAAAGGTGACAAATGAGGTCTTTGTTTTCTGAGCGGGGGTGTCACCCAACCGGTTCTTTGAAACAGTGTGCTCAGAATGGGTTGAAGCAGGAAGAGACTACATTTGAAAGACCAGAATGCTGAGAGGCTGTGTCCGCCTGGAAAAAATAGTGGGGTTAGGACCAAGAGGAGTTGGGAACTAATTGTAAGGATTAAGGAGAAGGTACGCAGCAGACATTGCCTCCAGGTTTGCTTGAAGGCGTGTGGCTGGATTAGGATGCCATGACAGGAAATAGAGACCTCAATCACATTAACCCCTGAAGAGCCACACATACTTGAGAGCTATTTTGTCTCACACTTTTATCTATTACAGTTTTTTGTTGGAATTTAAGCCAGTCGTGAGGCCACCGCACGTTTGTCTGCACAGTGAGGAGAACACTTAAGGGAAGTAACATGGGAGCTCTCATGTGGAGATGCTGCCATGTTTGTGTTGCGGCCAGAATATTACATCAGGTAAAGATGTAGAGCAGACTGTAGGAAACGCACGATAGGGACACAACCAAAAGGATGGAAACGCATGCAGAATGAGGTGTATGTTGTCTGGAAGCAACCGCTTAACTTTGAATCCAGGGGATTGCCCAGGGAGATCATATAGAGGAAAGCAGGCTGAGGGACAGAATATGGCGGACAATCCATTTAGATATTTACTCTTTATGTCGAAATGTCCATCCAGTCCGTAACATCTGTGATTCTGTATCTGTGACTATGGCCTATCCCAAGCCTACATTTCTGCAGAAAGGTCTCAGATGGAGGCACTACAGCTGATCGATGTACTGTGGCTGCACTAATGGTTTAAACTCTGACTGAAAAGTGTGTAATAGGTAAAACTGTGAGGCAACAATCTCTCTCAAATATGTGTGGCTCTTCGGGGGTTAATTTGAGACCTGTATCAGTTTTCTTTTTCTTTTTTTTTTTTTTTTTAAAGATTTTATTTATTTATTTGACAGAGAGAGATCACAAGCAGGCAGAGAGGCAGGCAGAGAGAGAGGAGGAAGCAGGCTCCCTGCTGAGCAGAGAGCCAGATGCGGGGCTCGATCCCAGGACCCCGAGATCATGACCTGAGCCGAAGGCAGCGGCTTAACCCACTGAGCCACCCAGGCGCCCCACTGTATCAGTTTTCTATGACTGCTCTAACAAATTACCACAAACTTATTCTCTGACAGTTTTGGAGGCCAGCAGTCTGAAATGAGTTTCACTGGGCTGAAGTCGGGGTGTTGGCAGGGCCATACTCTTCTGGAGGCTCCCGCTTTGCGACCTACATTCACTGTCACTTGAATAAGCCCCCACCACACAGGCTGGCTGTGTTACTTGAATAAGGTTTTGCACTCAGTGGCTTTCTACTATGGTTTCTACCTAATATTCCCTTCAAATCTTTTTTTTTTTTTAAATAAAATTTATTAAGATATGGGGCACCTAGGTGGCTCAGTGGGTTAATCAGCTCAGGTCATGATCCCGGAGTCCTGGGATCGAGCCCACCTCAGGCTCTCTGCTCAGCAGGGAGCCTGCTTCCCCCTCTCTGCCCTCCTCTCTGCCTGCTTGTGATTTCTGTCAAATAAATAAGTAAAATCTTTAAAAAAAATAAATAAAATTTACTAAGATAAAATTCACTAAAATTCACATACGGTACAATTCACCCATTTAAACCACACAGTTCAATGTTGTCAAGTATGTTCAGAGTCGTGCAGCCATCACAATTTTAAAACATTTTTGTCACCCGAAAAGAAAAACCCAGGCCCATTAGCACTGATTCCTCATCTTCCCCCAAAGACTAATCTATCACGGATTTACTTCCCAACTCTATAGAATCGCCTACTCTGGACATTTCATTTATACGGAATCATACAACATTTGGTCTTTTTTACTTAGTATAATGTTTTCAAGGTTCATCCATGTCGTGGCATGGATCAGTATTTCATTCCTTTTTATTGCCAACAATTATCCATTATGTGGATACATCACATTTTATTTATTCATCAGTTGATGGACATTTGCGTTTTTTCCACTTTCCTGCTATTATGAACAATGCTACTGGGAATATTCATGGGCAAGTTTTATGTGGACTTATGTTTTCGTTTCTCTTAGGCGAATACCTGAGAGTGGAAATGCTGGGTCACATTGAAACCTTTGTAACTTTGTGTTCCCAGGTTATTGTCAGGACCAAATTCTGTGTACCATCATCCCCACTCACAATGAAACCTCTCCCTAGTACTGCTGCTGTTCATTACCTCAGTATTATACTCACCAATTTGCCTTGCAGCTCAGTAATTCCTATGTGACTCTTTGTGACTTTCTGGAAAGCAGGGACAGGGTCTCATTTTTGTATACCCCAAGGCAGTGAGCGTACTGCCTTGCATAAAACAGAAACTCCCTAAGTGCTTTTGAATTGGTGGGAAGTAAAAGTATTAAGAATTTCATGTGCTTGATCCTACACAATGTGTCTAAAACTAAATAATGTTCACTTTTTTTTTTAATAATGTTCACTTTCAAATTTCAACTATTAAATGGCAAATAACACTTAAAATAAAAGTGTCTAAGGCAAACCAATTTCGTATGTTAAAGTCTGTTTATTTTGAATTATAGAAGCTCTGGTATTTTGGATTTATGTTAAGAAAATTAAACACTTTAGAAATTATAGGACTTTGAAAACAAACAGCACAATACAAACAAAAGTAAATGACATCATGTGCTAAAATTTAAGTTCCAAATTTCACATAAATTGCACTGAAGCAAATTCAAATTCACTAAAGCAAATTAAAAAATTCTTTTTAATAATGTGCTTCTGTTGGTTTTCATTATTGTTCTTACAAGATCAACAAAGACATATTAATAAGAATAAATTTTTACTTATATTGAAAGCCTATATTTTTCTTTGTCAATGTTAAAGAATGGAGGGATATTTCCCACTCTCCAAGATAGGCTTATTTCTAGCCTTTGACCTGGAAATGTAGACCACAACTCTGGTGGAGTCACAGATTCCATCAAGGTTATTTGCACATTCTCAGCCTAATTATGCATGAACATATTAAAAATATTCTTGGTCACTAGGCAGGTGGGAGATTTTCTCCAGAGTCAGTAACAAGAAAAAAAGAAGCTGGTGCCTAACTCTGTTCTGTCTAAAGCAGTCCATGTAGCTTTGAGAATGTCTGCATGAATGTCAGGATATTGGCTGAAATGACAGGAGAGTACCTGACTGTAATTCCAAGGAAAGATAAACTCCTTTGTTGTAGCTATTAATTCAATTTTATTGTTTTTTAAGTGAAAAAGTAAATATTAAATAGTATTATCCAAGTGTGTAAACGCTGGTATTATATATATATATATATATATATGTATATGTATATAGTCATAAAAATAATGACTCATTTTCTGAAGAATGGAGGCCTAGAAGCTAACTAGTGATTTGCAGGCTCCGCTGCATCGTAGAATGAAGCATAGTAATGCTCAGGCCACACTGACCAATTACATCAGAATCTCTGGGGGTACCACACTGTATTTTCCTTTTTAAACTCCCCAGGCTAAACTTGAGAACAAATGAATTAGGTCATATTAGGTCAGAGGCTGATGCAAGTTGTATTACTGATTATCTTAACACAAATATAGGTTGGTTTTTGCTGTGTTTTTGAGTGTGTGGTTTTTAATAAGAGGAAGAAGGGTGATCTCTTGTTCAATGGTACTGAAAAATGAGCTGTAAAATTGTACCCCAGAAGATAACAGTGCTCTACATTTAGCCTGTAGCGCTAGTTCTTATTCACAGGTGCTTATCAGACTCATTCTTAACACTTCAAAATAAATACAAATATCCAGAAATTATCCTAGACCAGCTGAATCAAAATCACTCGGGAAGACCTGAGTTTGTGAACTTTAAAAAAAGTTCTGTGATTTTTGATGTCACATTTTGGTTGAAGATCTTTAGAGGTGTGCCACATGGTATGTCTTTAGCTGTATTTGATTAAATTACAGGGAAGCAGATTTTAGAAAAATAACTTTAAAAATCACATAGAGCTACCCAGCAATGGAATGACCCATTTTAAGGCAGTCAGCTCTCTGTGCCTGGAAAAATAAAGGCAGAGGTTGGATTAACACCTGCTGGGAATGTTGTCCAAGGGCTCCCAAACAGTAAGTAGTTGGATCACCAGATATTTAAGGTTACTCCCAGTTTTTAAGTTTCGTTAGCTAAAACCTGCAATCGCTCACTTACAATGGATATTCACATTTTCATGAAAAGTCATGATTTTGCCAGAAGTATCATAATTATTTTGTTTCTAAAACTGGCTAGATCGAAGTAGCATTAATGGAATGTTGCCTCTGATACCAGTCTTACTGAAGGAAATATCCTTCCCTCTTCCTCATGTTTGCATGGAGGGATGGAACTTTTTCTTGCTCCTTGGGAGGCAGAAGTGTGGGAACAAGCTCCATGAATCCTCATTCATTCCTCTCGACAGACAGGTGTCTCATCTGATGAACGATCTGGGGAGCAGGAACCCAGCACGTGTGGCCCAGCCCCTAGTGTGTTCTCTCACCTTGAAAGCTGAATGGTCTCCAAATGCAAAGGTGGGCTCTATCCCTGGCAAGGCAGAGATCTGCAGTTGTGTCCAGGCAGAGATATTTCAGGGAGCCTGATAGGAGAACAAGCCAACCTTGCCCTCTACTTCAGCTTCACTGATAATAAAGCTGACATTTTGATAACTCTCTGACTCCCATGTCTTATTTCTCAATTTGTTCCAAAGTGAAGAGGGGAATAAGAAGGTATCCTTAAGCTCCAGAAGCATCACAATCGAGTCATGAATTGTAACTGCATGAGTCTATAACACTTGTGTTCTGAAATAGCGTTATTTTTTTGAAGTCGGTGAACAAGTATAAAATACAAAGTACTTCCAAAGTTACAAAAAGAACACAACATATAAAAGGCCCCTTTTCGGGCACCTGGGTGGCTCACTTGGTTAAGCAACTGCCTTCGGCTCAGGTCATGATCCTGGAGTCCCAGGATCAAGTCCCACATCAGGCCCTCTGCTCATCAGGGAGCTGGCTTCTCCCTCTGCCCCTCGTCCCTTTCATGCTCTCTCTCTCTCTCTCTCAAATAAATAAAATCTTTAAAAAAAAAAAAGGCCCCTTTTCTTTATTGGCATAATTTGGGAATTCTAACTGCTCAATTGTCTATTTTTAGGTAACAGTGACATTTTCCAAGTTTTTACTTTATTGAGAATAGTCTTAATCGTGATCTGCAGAAGTTGGTCCTGGGCAATTTGAAGAGAGGTCTTCTTTATCTGTGATTTATGTAAGGAAAATAAAAGATTAGTATGACTTATATGGTAAACTATTACAGAAAATTATGTTAACATAACGTGTTTTGTAGCTCTGTTTGCTACTTACTCAGCTAAACCAGGGAAAGACACAATAAGAACCAACAAGTCTTAACTGTCAAAACATCCTTAAATTCAAGTTAACAAAGGCAACTTGGGTGAATGTTTTAAAAGGGAAAGTGTGTGGCTCTGTAAGACATCTGGCCAGGTTTAAACCCCTTTCTTTCCTTAAAATAGAATAAAATTTTAAAAAATGGAGTGGATTTCAAGATTCTGATTTTTATAGTTCAGGGACAATATCTAACTACACAAAAGCTAGTTTTAAATTTATTTCTTTATTTATTTGAGAGAGAGAGAATGAGAGAGAGAGATTAAGAGAGAGCATGAAAAGAGAGAGGGTCAGAGGGAGAAGCAGACTCCTGCTGAGCAGGGAGCTGGATGCGGGGCTCAATCCCTGGGACTCCAGGATCATGACCTGAGCCGAAAGCAGTCGCTTAACCAACTGAGCCACCCAGGCCCCCAAAAAGCTAGTTTTAAATTTTTAAATAGGGGTGCCTGGGTGGCTCAGTCAGTTAAGCATCTGCCTTCAGCTCAGGTCATGATTCCAGGGTCCTGGAATTGAGTCCTGCATCAGGCTCCCTGCTCAAAGGCGAGCCTGCTTCTCCCTCTCCCTCTGCTGCTCCCCCTGCTTATTCTCTCTCTCGCTTTCTCTCTCGAATAAATGAATAAAAATCTTTAAAAATTTTTAAATATCTTTCAAGTACTATAGCTCAAGAAAGACTCTTTATAAATTTGTTTTCAACAAATCATCCCCAAGACTCAAAAATTCTTCCTTTTGAAATAGAAGACTGAAAAAATTCCCTTCTGCACATTTAGTTTCTGAAAAGTTAAAAGCATCTTTAATAAGGCTTATTAAAAGCCTTTATTAATAAGATGAGAGTTAATGGGATGCCTGGGTGGCTCAGGTGGTTAAGTGTCTGCCTTCAGCTCAGGTCATGATCTCAGGGTGCAGAGACTGAGCCCTTAGTCAGGATCCCGGCTCAGTGGGGAGACTGCTTCTCCTCCACCACCCCCATTCATGCTCTCTCTCTCAAACAGATTAAAAAAAAAAAAAAAAAAAAAGAAGACCTCAACTATTTCTATATCCACTATTGCCTTAAGACACTGATCCCACATTGTCATTTGGATGGAATAAGAAATTTCCATTGTTAGGGCCGCCTGGGTGGCTCAGTTGTTAAGCATCTGCCTTCAGCTCAGGTCGTGATCCCAGGGTCCTGGGATCGAGTCCCATGTAGGGCTCCAGGGAGCCCGCTTCTCCCTTTGCTTGTGCTCTCTTGCATGCTCTCTCTCAAATAAATAAAATCTTTAAAAAAGAATTTCCATTGTCTCTGGGGAATGTTACTTTCTCTCTCTCCCTCTCTCACACACACACACACACACACAAAGTTAAAAAAAAAATCAAAGAACATTTGTGTTCAATATTTTGAAAAAGTGCCAAGTATCTTACCTTCATAGGCTGTTCCACACCAAATACAATACAGATGTTCTTCTCTTAAATAACCAGTCAATATTTGTAATTTTTCCAGTACCTAGACATAGGACACAGGTACACTAATAGTTCCAAACTGAACAGAATCTTGGTTTTCTGGTCTTTTGGATCCTGCCAAATTAGCCCAAGGCCATAAATCTTCTGCTACTCTCTTAACCAGGTAGAATTGTAAAGGGCAGTGTATATTAGAACATATCCCAGTTCATCAGCCACCCTGATATTTTCACAAGTCTGCCAGACACAAAGAGACCACTTGTTAACATTTAGAAAATGAAGCTTGGGCTGGCTCTGTTTTAATCAGCCTCCTTTAAAGACCCCTTCTACTTTCAAAGAATCTTCCTCCCCAGTGGGATGAGAGTGAACACTGTCTCCCTTTGTCCTTAAAGTTCTTACCAATGTTCTCCCAGCTAAGTGGAACATTGGTTTTTCAAATTGGGAATGTTTCCTACAGAATGCTCATATATAAATAACCACAGAAATAGGATTCCTTTCTTGAATAATGTCTACTTCCTTTGAACTTTTTTTTTTTTTTTTGCTTTGTGGGTAGAGGAGAGGGGTACTCCTATAGAATCACTTCCAGAAATTTAACAGGCAATAAGGTAGAAATTAAAAGAATTTACATTTGCAGCTTATCCATCATCCAAACTAGAGCTGAGATGAGAGTGTAAACTGAAGCTAAAGGAAGAAATTATATAAAGTTTTGGTAAACTTATAATGTTGTGGTTCTCAACAAGGGCTGATTGTTCCCCACAGAGATATTTTGCAGTGTCTGGAGCATTTTTGGATGTCATGGGGAGATGCAACTGGCATCTGCTGCATGGAGGCCAGGCCTGATGCTACGAGGCACAGAACAGTAGCCCCTGCCCCCAAACAATCACTGGGCTGAAAGCCTTAATGGTGCCAAGGCTGACGGGGCGCCTGGGTGGCTCAGTGGGTTAAAGCCTCTGCCTTTGGCTCAGGTCATGATCCCAGGGTCCTGGGATCAAGCCCCACATCGAGCCCCACATCGGGCTCTCTGCTCAGCAGGGAGCCTGATTCCCCCTCTCTCTCTCTACCTGCCTCTCTGTCTACTTGTGATCTCTGTCTGTCAAATAAATAAAATCTTAAAAAAAAAATGGTTGATCAAACAACTGGTGGCAAAACATACACTTAAGTCTTCACTTTTATATTCATCTTCCTCTGGCTCTTTTTCTTCCTCTTCCTCTTCCTCAGTCTCCTCTTCAAGCCCCAACCAGTACCATGCTTCCCTCGGAACCTGAATGTTCTGAAAACGGGAAAATTATTCTCAGTTAAACACAAACATGTTCATGTCAACATGAATTCGTATTCTTTCAATTCAACATTTTCTGAATTGCCTCAAGAGTCAAGCACTGTGCTGTATGAACCATGGGAATGAAGACCCAGTTGGAATATTGTCCCCAAGTTGCTGCCAGTCTAGTGGGGACAAGAAGCCTTGGGTATACGTAGCCTAATGGGTATAAATTAATACACATAAGCTAGAAATCTTAAGTGTCATGACACAGACACAAAATAAAATGCTATGAGAATACAAAAAAGTGAGAGATGGCTTCCAGAGATCTATTTACATATGAGGGAAATTTGACAAATGTTTTTGAGACTTCAAATGAAGTCATTTTATTTTGATGAAAACATCAAAATAAAAAATAAGTGCAAAGCAAAATAAAAATAAAAGAAAAAACAGAATTTTAAAAACCACTGACATCTAAAATAGATAGTAATCTACCATGATTTTACTAGTTAGGGATGCATGAGGTACTGAACATGGACTAAAAATAGGCTATTCTGGTTAATCAAATATTCTGGTGAACAGGATTTCCATATGCATCAGCTCTGAGTAATCGATACTCAAATAAGTAGAGAACAATTAAATATAAAAACGCTATCTGAGGCTTACCAGGTAATTCAGACCACCCTGGTTCCTGCAGTGGACAAATCATCTGAGTATCAATCATCAAAGATCAGTAGTGCCCATTAAATGAAAGCTTTATGGGGTAGCAGGCTAGATACAGTGGGCTTGGGAGTTCTTTTCTTTCTTTCTTTGGTCTAATTAGAGGGCAAATTACACTGGGTGCAAAAAAAGTGTTCCAATTTGAACACAGATGAAAGGCTTGCCTTCTGAGTATCCAACTGGCGGCAGGCTCGCTGGCTTCTCCTCAGGTCCCCTTCCAGCTTCACTTCATCGTGCTTATGTTTAAATCGCAGTCTAAAAAATAAATCAAATCAAATCAATCAATCACAGTCTCACTGAAAGAAGACAACAGTCCACGAAGAGTCTGTACTCTCTTCCCCCATTCTATGTGCCCAGCTTCCGGAGAACATACCCCAGTAAAGACAAGATGAAACCCAACCCAGCACAAGTACAAGGTGTTACCGAAACTGCTCTGCAGCTGTTTCTTCAGCTTGGTTTTGCATGCGAATCTTTCTCCTGTAGCTTTCTAGTTTTTCCTCTGCTTTCCGCTTCAGCAATGCCTCGTGACCAAGACCGCTTTTCCCTGTTTAAAAAGCAAACTCTGCTGAGGAGCCTGCTGGCTTCACATGTGAAAACATGGCAACTAACATATTTGCAAATGACACACAATTCTAATAGGAGGACAATCACTTAAAATCATTGAACATGAACAACAGGAGAAAACACCAGAGATTTTTTTTTTCCTAAACCCAAACTCACAATTTGATTTATACAAAGATCATTAGTCTGATCTCCTAAGATAGTCACGCTATATAAAATTTTTTAAATTGGGAAAACAGGATCAACTGTCATACTTTCATATAAATATAACGAACAAATAAAATATTTATTTTTCTCTTTAATTCATCCAAAGTATTAAGAAAAACACTAAATGGATAAATCTGTCTTTGAAAACTTTGACGTATTTCAATGGAGAAAAGTAGCTTTGCATTTTTAATGGTCACTACAATTTCTTCCCATATTTTTATGATTTAAATTTTATTTTACACTCAAACTTTTATTTTTTAGTTTAAAAGATTTAGAAGTTTAAGAAACATCTTACGGAGGGCTTCCTTTGACAAGAACTGTAACAGTGCTACCATAAAAAAGTATTTAGTAAGCAAATACATGTGCTAGATCTAAGCGTAAGTTATTATTACTGGTAAATATGCTCAAAAATAATTATATACCTGTTTTGACGTTGAGAGGAATTGGCTCAACAATACCATCTCCTAAGAAAAGAGAACAAAACACACAAACTACTTTAGAAATTCTTCCACAAACTATAGGCGAACCTAGTATGCAATGTTACAATGTTCTATACATACCCCTCCGGCTTACTGACTATACCCTATCATCAACTACCTCCCTTGCCTTCAAATACCTGCTCCTTAGTAAGGCTGACCCACAGCCCCCTATGCCCTCAGAAGGTAGGGTTTCCAGAAGTGAAAACACTGATACTCTATGTCCAAGAGGGAGGCAGCCTCCAGAGAAACCAAAGCCTTGTTGGGTGAGGATCAAAGCCATTACAATAAAGAAGAGAAGACGAGAAAGACAGTTTACTACAAACATATGACCTCTCCATCTTAATAAACAGTCTCACTTTCTAAAAGGGAAGTGGGAATTGAGCTTGTCCCAGCAGGTGCTCATTTAGGCAGCTGCCACAGGTACAGAGCAAGTGGGGAGAGTCCTGCCATCCTCCTCAATGTCACTCCACTGTCCTTTGGCCCTTGCACTCCTCAACCCTTCTCTTGTCACCATTCCTAGCTGCTGCCTTCATTCTAAGTCTTGTCCATCCCAGATGTTAGCACCTTCAAGGCTAAGCTGGGCTAATAAGTAGCTCTTGATGGCAAACGTTGTCTGAAGTGGTGAAGGAAGATCAAAGTTGTCCATATGCTTGTTAGCACCTAAGACACTAGCTAAGTTGTTTAAATTTCGGTGCAGCTGGATAAAGAGTTGTGTCTGGTACTCATCAATAGATCAGCATTTGGTGGTTAGGAACACCTGCTTCTGTCTAGATGGAACTTACCACTCTTGCCAAGGGCCTGACCACTTTTATATCCCATCTTTTGGAGCAGAGCAAACCCTTTGTTTTCACAGCCTAGTGCATTCTTCAGCCCAATATCACGTCTTTCTTGTTCTTCTTCTTTTAAACTTTTCTGCCTATTTTTCAAATTAGCTTCCTGCTGCTTTTCTTCTTTTCGACGGGCTTCTCGGATCTGCCTCAGCATTGGCAATCCTGGTCTGATGTCTTGTCTGAAGAATAAGGGAAAAGGGGATTTTGGATGAGTATATGAAGTTTTCTCACAACTTTGCTACTCACTCATTTGACACTGCTTAAAAGTTTAGTAGCACTTCTATGATCACCTTTGTTATTATTGGTTATTATTGGTATTAAAACATAATCAGTGACCTCTAGAATGGCTGTATTAATAAAAACAATGAAGGCTGGTGCCAGACTGTAGGAAACTAAAGGAAGTAGAGAGTTGAAATAGTAATTTTACACTAATTTTTCTAGGAGGTTGGAAATAATAAAGAGCAAAGCTGAATACTAATTAGAAGAGACAATAAGATAAAATAAAGCAGAAGAGAAATTTCCTTGAAAGAGAAGAGTAACAAGAACCAAGGGCAGAAGTCAATGTTTAGCATTAAAAGGGAAATAAAGGCTCCTAGTATATTTGTATGAAAATGTAGGAGATGTTCCCATAAAGCAATAGAACTCACCTTCCAACTTGCATTTAAAATCAATGTTATTACTTAGGAATCTCCTACATACCATTACATGAGGTGTACATCTTTACTTACTGGACATTAATGAAGGAATCAGACATGTAGTCCTCTTCTTCTGCCATGTTCAACTTCACATGGCAAAAGTATCTACAAATCAAATAGGATAAAGTAACAATATCTATTATTTTAGTTTATGATGGAAATAGACCTTTCTCTGCTGCTCTCCCATGCATTCAAGTGCCTCCTGGCATCTTTCTGTGTGAAGCTCCCCAACAACTCATTCTCTTCTATCCCAAGCCTCCTTCATCCCCTATTATTTCCAAATGAATGTCACTACAATCTGCCCATTCCTGACCTCTTACAAACCTCTGCCAAGACTCTACAATACCCCTCATTTTTCCTATAGTTAAGGCATTTCTTTCTCACCTAAACTATTACAACTACTTCCTAACTGGTCTCATTGCATTTGGCCTCTCCTCTTCCAATCTGTTTCCTATATGCTCTCCAGAGTGGTTTGTTTGTTTGTTTGTTTTAAAGACAGCTCTTTTTTAAAAGCTCATTTTATTTTAGTAATCCCTACACCCAACGTGGGGCTCAAACTCACAACTCCAAGATCAAGAGTCCTGTGCTCTTCCCACTAAGCCAGCCAGGTGGCCCCAGAGTGTACTTTTTTTTTTTTTAAATAAGTCAGGTCATTTAACCTGTTTCAAATCCTTCAATAAGCTTTACTCTGTAGGCACTGGAGGACCAGTCACTTAAACACAGTAGCAGGAGGGATCCTTCATAGTCTGACCCCTGATGCTCCCTTAGGATTCAATGGTCAAGTCATAGGGGCTTCTCATTGGCCTCTGAACAGACTACAGACATTTCCTTCCTTCTGGGCCTTGGCGACCCCCTTTGCAGTCTGTGCTGACCATTCCAGGCATTGCTCTATAGCACTTCATGTCCAAGCTGCTCCTTTGGAACTTGATACAGTTAACGTCTCATGTATATGGAAACATTTTTTGAGGAGAGTTTCCATCCAAAACAGTTAAAATCATGTAACTATTTTCCCTTACAGGGATAACATAATTATCAAGAAAGGTGCATCTCAAACTTTATTATGTACAGGATAAATTGCCTCAGGATCTTCTTAAAATCCAGAGTCTGATTGTGAGCTAGAGCCCGATAGAAGCCTTATTTCCAATAAGATCCCAGGCGATATCAATGCTGCTGGTCCAGTGGCTAGTTACAAAGGGGAGTCATTGGTTGCAGTGCACACATGCTGTTTTTACCTGCATCCTTTCCTTTCGGAACCCAGCCCTCTGCTCTCCATGTGGTTCTAGTGGAGGGTGGCAATCTCAGTACTCGTACCAGGGACTCCCAATTCTGGTATACTATGTCCCAGCAACAGAGGAGGTGATGAACTAACCAGGGAAGATAAGCATCTATTTCCTTACATGATAAGAATATACAGATTGGGGGGAAAAGAGATACCTTCACTGGGGTTTCTGAACTGGAAGTATGTGAAGCTGGGCTTCAGATGGCCACCTTCCTGGCCATATGAAGAGATTCTATTCTGCAGAATGAAACCAGATAGAAAAAATGGACAAAGGTAGTCCTAAAAGCAGTGAGTCTCTAAGTCTAGTTCCTAAGACCCTGATTTTTATAGCACTTTCTTTGATGTTGTGATCTAACATTCTTCCAAGCTAGACGGACTGATAAATTTCCTCACGACTTAAACTTGGAAGAGGGATTCTGTCAACTGCAACTGAGAGTTTGGACAATTACACTGGATGGGAAAACTATTACTGTACTGTTTTTGTTTTTTTGTTTTTGTAGTTTCTTAATGTATTTTTCCTAACTGGGCTGTAAACCCCAAAGACAAGTTCCCTACCACTGTGGCCCAAACACCATAAATTCTAAATGTCTAGCTATGGTAAGAACAAGAAGAGTCTTTACCTTGTGATTTTGTAATAATAGAACACTTTTCTCCCTAGGTCATCATGTCTTAAAACAGACGTACAGATAATGTACTTTTATGAAACAAACACTCTTGTAACCAAGCGGTGGCCTCCAAGATGGCCCCCAATGATTCCTGCCTCTTGGATTTCCACATCCTTGCACAGTCCCCTTCCACAGTGACCAGGATTGACCTGTAACCAATAGGGTATTGTGGAAATGATGGAGAGTGACTTCTTGGTTATAAAAGACACTACTCTTAGTGTGTACAGCTCTTAGATCACTTAAATCACTCTAACTCTGGTTAGATTACTCATTTTAAAGAAAGTCAGCTGTCATGTAGTGAGGACACTTCAGCAACTCTATGGAAAAGTCCACATAGGAAGACCTGAGGCCCCCTGTTCACAACCATTACAAACTTGGGACATGTTTGGGACATCTTAGACATGATTGAGACATCTTAGAAACAGAGCCTCAAGTGCCAGTCAAACCTTCAAATGATTCAGCCTGGGCTACCATCTTCACTACATTTTCTTAAGAAAGTCTGAGCTAAGTTAAACTACTAACAAATTCTTGACCCATAAAGCTGTGAGAGAATAAGTGATTATAGTTATTTCAAGCTGCTATATTTTGGGATAACTTATTATACAGTAATAGATAATATAATCCATCACCCATATCATGACCCTTGTCAGCTACCTAGGAGTCCTCTTTGCCCCTACCAATTGTATAATTTTCTTACTTCCTAGTTTCATCAGCCATGTGTGCATCCTTAAACATTATCATTTTTTCTTTTTATTATAATAAGGTAAAAATATATGATTATACATAGCATTTGTGGTAATTCACCCGCTGTCTCTAAACTTCAAATTTTTCATTTTTAATAATAGTACTTTTACACATAATGGTTTAGCGCCTACCCGGTATCTCAAACATTTTTATTCCATTTAATCATTAACAACTATATAAGGCAGGAATAGTTAGTCCAGCTTATTAGTTGGAGAAACTAAGGCTCAGTATGGCTAAACACAAAAAAACCCAGGTCTCAGTGCTCTTGCTACTGCAAACCGGGTCAGATTATTTTTAAGGGACCCATTTAGCTCTTAACTGTTAGGCAGGTATGAATGGGGGTTCCAGGTTTTTTTTTTTTTTTTTTAACTCTCCCTTTGTGGGTACAATATACTTTAGCATCATCCATTCGCATCAAGCATAAGGACAAACTTCTTAAAGCGATAATCCAGGCACCGTAACAGCAGTGGAAGTGGTTTGGAGCGGTCGGATTCTGGGTATATTTTAAAGGTACAGCTAATAGGTGGGAAGCGGTGTGTCAAAGAGCGAGGTCAACGACTACTCCAAGGCTTTTCGTCTGAATACCTGGAAGAATGGAGTTAGTCAGTTTTTGAGAGTGGTTAGACCGTAGTAGGTCTGGTTCGGGTAAGGTTTGTCTTGTTTTGTTTCGGCAGAGAGCGGGCAGGGAGGCGGCAACAAGAAGGCTGCTTCAGACCTACGGAGAAACCCATTACACATCCAAGGGGAGAGAAGGGCTACGCAGCTGGACGTAGAGTAGAGACCTAACCAAAAAAGCCTCAGTCCTCCCCATCCCCACCCCAGGGACCCCTGATTCCTCCCTTCTCGCGTCCATCCCAGCTGCAAGCATCCCGCAGACTCAACGACTTCCGAGAGGGTAGTAAGTGATGGTGTGACGGGGTAGTCAGAAAAAGCGCACAGCACACCATCTTTTACTATGCCATCTGGGGTCCCCAGCGTCCCCACCCCGGTACCTGCCAGCTCTACTCTCGCCCGGCCAGCTCCAGCGAGCGCGCGCTGCGCATGCGCCCACCTCCAGCGTGGGACGTCTGAACCTCAGGTCCCACCTGCGTTTCCAAGCGAGCAATCAATTGGAAACCTGTGGCCGGCAGGACTAGGAAGATGTGATTAGTACGCTTGCGCAAGACCAGGCTTCCGCGCATGCGCTCTACTTTCGTTTCCTGCCGGCCGGAGTGCGGGAGGCGGGGCATCCGGGTCGTTTGGCAGAGGCTTCTCGCCCCGGAACTCAGCTGTCCAGCCCCTGCCAGAGTAGGAGGTGAGGCCACCCCCGTCTGCCGCCAGAGCATGCACGGTGACATGCACACAGCCCCCTGCCCCCCTTTACGTTTTCAGAGGGCTGGAGAGGAAAATCGAATTTGTAATGAACATTTTCCTTTCTCAGTCTCCAGGCTCGGTTCCGGGCCACCGTCATCTACGGTTGACAGCCCGAATGGCCCTGTTGAGCCCTGCGGCGGGCTTTTGCATTTCCCCTAGGCCCGGTACTGAGCTACGGTGGTCCTCCGAGTAGCCGGGTTAACCCAGAGGTGCAGCGCGCACAGCATCTGCGGGCTGCATTTCGCGCAGCGCCCCGAGTTGCCACTGAAGCTTCTGCCACGGGGATGTGGCCCCCTCACCCCATCCCCGTAGGAAGGCTTTTGGAGACGTCGCCACTGAAGCTTCTGCCACGGGGATGTGGCCCCCTCACCCCATCCCCGTAGGAAGGCTTTTGGAGACGTCCAGTTTGACATCTTTTTTTTTTTTTTTAAGATTTTATTTATTTATTTGACAGAGAGATCACAAGCAGGCAGAGAGGCAGGCAGAGAGAGAGAGAGGAGGAAGCAGGCTCCCCGAGAGAGCAGAGAGCCCGATGCGGGGCTCGATCCCAGGACTCTGAGATCATGACCTGAGCCGAAGGCAGCGGCTCAACCCACTGAGCCACCCAGGCGCCCCCAGTTTGACATCTTTATGCTGGAAGTTTTGACGTCCTCCTGGGCCAGGGGAGGGTAAGGGTGCTGTGCACCGAGCAGTGGGCTGGAAAAGAGGAGGAAGGATTGTCAGGCCCAGCTGGTGTTTGATCTTGGTGCTGAAGTTTTACCATTTATGGAATAAGTTAATGACATGCGTTTTGCTACGCATTTTTCTTCTGGAATAATGCCTTATTTGCCATATATATTTATATATTTTATATTTTAAGTAATCTCTATGCCGAACGAGGGGCTTGAAGCCACAACTCTGAAGTTCAAGAGTCGCAGGCTCTACTGACTGAGCCAGCCAGGTGCTCTGCTATTTACAAAATTTATTTTAATTTTCCGTTTATTCCTTTGTTCATACTTCCTCACCAAGCATGACTTTCATTTATGTTTGTTTTTGTTTTATGCTGGTCCTTTAGAATTCGGTTCTTGGGTTTTATCTCAAAGAAATTATGTAAATTTCCCCCAAATGAAGTGAAAAATAAAGCCCTACTTTTCATTTTTTTAGTGGTTACGTTCATTAAACTTGACTTTCAACATTAAAAATATCCTTACAAGTATTTTTTAATTTGTTTAGGTGTGACTTTTAAACTTCAGTAATGGAGCTAGCCCACAGTTTATTGCTAAATGAAGAAGCTTTGGCTCAAATCACTGAAGCAAAGAGACCAGTTTTTATCTTTGAATGGTTGCGATTTCTTGATAAAGTCTTGGTTGCTGCCAACAAGGTATGGTATTGGTTTTTTTTTTTTTTTTCTTTTTTCTTTTCCAGCCGGGTTTACATAACGAAGCGTATTATATGTTCATGATTTGCGATAAAACAAGCATTATGTTTTGGAAAGGTTGTGAGGTCACTTACGGAATCGAGAATGTAACACTGGAATAGGAATTGTTGTCTGTCCTTTTTCTGTTTTGTTGCAAAACCTGAATCTCATTTTAACCTTTGCCTACTTCATGTCTCTGCCTGGACAACTGAATGTGACTGGAGAAAAATAAAATGATATGACTGCCGTCATTTTATATTCATTTATCTCCAACTTCAAGTGGTCCTAAAGTGCCACCTAGCAATCCCAGTATCTTCACTTATCCCTCTGAGAATTTATAATAGTTTTTTTTTCCCTTTCTGCTTTCTTCTGCCTACACAATCTTGTTTTATCCTAGTTGCTTTTCCTTGTGTGTATGTTTTATTTTCTGTCTTTAATATTAGATACTTTCCTCAAATACCTGGTGACATTTGGCATCTGTTCAAATTTAAGAGTGAGTAGTAAGTTCCCAGGGCAGGATGAAGTTCATTAACTGTGCTTCACTGTAGCTAGTCCTATTGTTTGAGGAACCCCTGACATTGGTATCATAGGTTTCTCATAGCTACTCATTCCCTGGAATAGATATTTCTACTCTAATGGCCTAGGGTGTGTCACCAGCTGCCTAGATTCTAGGAATTCAGGATGGCTAGGGGCTTCAACGTCCAGTATGTAAACTTGCATTTAATCCCCCTGTCTTCAGTGTAGTTTTCCCAGCTCACAGCTGTGCTGAGCTCCCTAAGTCTGGAGTGGAGGAGAGATGCATGAGAGTCTTACAGCATCTAGACTCTCAACCATTCCCTCTAGCTCTAGGCGCCTAGAGCTTTGAACAACAACAAAACAAACATGAGCTTTATGGGATTCTGTGATGTAAGTTGGGTCTCTTCTCAGCTTTCCCTATTCAAGATACCTGGCCTCTATATTTTCTGTTGATTATTTTACCATTTTCTTTGCTCTTGTAGATTTGGGCTTTTGGGGGGGCGTGCCCTTTAGTATAGTTTTAGTAGTATTTCTGGAGAGACAAAGTTAATGCTTGGATTCATTTGCAGTCCTTAGCTCAAAGTTTCTATTTTCTCTTAAACTCCTTCTAAGTGAGAATTTGTTGCCTACATTTCACTGAAATGATCTTGTCTAGTCATCAGTGATCTCAGATTCTTCCAACCAGTGGTCAGTGTTCTGTCCTAGCTGACCATCAGCAGCTTTTTTTTTTTTTTAAAGATTTTATTTATTTATTTGACAGACAGAGATCACAAGTAGGCAGAGAGGCAGGCAGAGAGAGAGGAGGAAGCAGGCTCCCCGCCGAGCAGAGAGCCCGATGCAGGGGTCGATCCCAGGACCCTGGCATCATGACCTGAGCCGAAGACAGAGGCTTTAACCCACTGAGCCACCCAGGCGCCCCCCATCAGCAGCTTTTGATACAGTTGATCCTCTACCTTGAAACACTTACTCTATTTTTTGTTTTGTTGTGCAGTTGAAAAATACAAAAGTATTTGTAGGTATTTATTCCTTCAATGATATCATAATCTCATGATTTTTACTGCCATCTATACAATAATAACTCCCAGATACCCAACTACCTCTTTCTTAAACAGCATCTCAAAATTAAGATACTCAAAGCCAAATTCTTGATTTTCCCATCCCAAACCTGTCCCTTCCTTAGTGCTCATGTTCTCAGGAAATGACCATTTCTTCCTTCTAGTTGCTCAGGTCATAAACCTTAGAGTCATTCTTGACTTCTCTCTTCTTCTCAAACTTCACAGCATACACATCAGCAAGTCCATTGGTTCTATCCACCAAATATGTCCAGAATTCAATTATTGGTCATCATTGCCATTGTTCCCATCCTCCTCTCTCATCTGGGTAGCTTCCTAAGTGTTTGCCATGTTCCAACCATATACCTTGTAGGGTATTCTTTGCTCAGTATTCAGAATGTGCCCGTTAAAACATTCTGATTGCATTCCTCTTATGCTTCAAGTGCCTGCTTAGAATGACATAGAAAATTCTTACAGTGGTGTGTAAGGCGCTATACAGGGTAGACCCTTCCAACTACATCGAGATCCACTACTTCCTCTCTCTGACAATGCTCCAGCCAAACTGGCCATCTTGCTGTCCTCAACTAAGCAAGCTTCTACCTCAAGGCCTTTGCCCTTGTTCCCTTTGCTTGGAATGTTTTTCTCCAAGATGTGTGCATAGCTCACACCTTCACTTGTTTTCAGGGAGGGCTTTTCTTACTAATCCGTACAAAACAGACCTTACACTATTCATTTGTTTATTTGGTAAACTCTGTCTTTCCCCACTAGACTATAAGTTCACAAGGGCAGAGACTTTGTTGTGTTCGCTCTTCCATCCCAGTGCCTAGAATAGTGCATGGCATCTAATAAGTGCACAACTTGAATGAATGAGTGAACTCTCAGTATTGATTATGGTATATCTGAATTTTTCTTTTTATGCTGTCTACGGCTCTTGAAGTTTCTTTCAGTTTCCTTCAGTGACCTATAATTTATGAACTACTGACTTTGCTTTTACAGGGCAGCATTGCTAGGTTCTAAGACTTCAGTTGTCCACATGCCAGTATTTTACATCCTTTGACTGTTGGTTTCTTAGTAAGTTGGTGTGGAAACTTTTTGGATCTAGAGTAGTCACTTTAATTGGTAGCTACCTTCTTGGCATTGGAGGGGAATGAAGGATAATATTTAATCTAGGAAAGAGTGGTTCATTTCTTTCTTTCTTTTTTTTTTTTTTAAAGATTTTATTTATTTGACAGACAGAGATCACAAGTAGGCAGAGAGGCAGGCAGAGAGAGAGGAAGGGAAGCAGGCTCCCTGCTGAGCAGAGAGCCCGATGCGGGGCTCGATCCCAGGACCCTGGGATCATGACCTGAGCCGAATGCAGAGGCTTTAACCCACTGAGCCACCCAGGAGCCCCCATTTCTTTTTTTTTTAAGATTTTATTTATTTATTTGTCAGAGAGAGACAGCACAAGCAGGCAGAGTGGCAGGCAGAGGCAGAGGGAGAATCAAGTTCCTTGCCGAGCAAGGAGCCTGATGCGGGACTTGATCCCAGGACCCTTGGATCATTACATGAGCCGAAGCCAGACG